AAATCAGGGTGATTTGAAGGAAGAGCTTTTTCTCTAATTTCAAGTGCTTTTTCAAAGAATGAAAGTGCTTTCGAATACTCTCCCATGTTGTCATACACCAAACCGATGTTGTTGTACGAAGTAGCCAAATCAGGGTGATTCGAAGGAAGAGTTTTTTCTTCAATTTCAAGTGCCTTTTCATAGTATTCTATAGCCATTTTATAATCACCTTGATCATCTTTTAAGTAGCCAAGTTGATGATAATAGTGTGCTCTGTCATTCTTATCAGATGTTTGTTCCAGTAACACAGTGTACAGTTCTTCGGCTTTATCCAGCTGTCCGAGTGTAAGCAATAATTTACCCAAACGTTTCCACCCTGTACTACCTCGAACTTCACTTTCAATACGGTCCGTTAACACACGCAGTTGTGGATCGTCATCAGCAGTTAACTGAAGTTGTACCTCACGGTAAAGTTTATTCTTGTCACCCACTTGTCGAATTGTACGGACTCGAAACACGCTGTGCATGGAAAACAGGATCTCTGCTTCGTCTTTGAAGTGACTAAAATCTCCAATCGATGCGAATGGAGTTGTAGCAATATTCGGATCGATTGTGATTACGAACAGAACACACACCTTGTCGGGATCACCGAGAGCGTTGTAGGTGAACTCAAGAGATTTCTCTTGTTTGATACTGGTGGATAAGAAGTTGTTAAAAGATAAAAGACCACCTATAGTTTTGGATAACTGGTCAAAATCTGTCTTGGATAGTCCCTGTCCACGGTAGACTACGAAAGTTTTTCCTCTGTAATTACTGACCTGTTCTTGGTGTAGTCGTTGTATTTGTTTGTGTAAATCATGGAGGAAAAACCCCATGTTAATAATGACTTCGCCATCCAAAGTGCGAAGTGCTTGATTAAGCATTTGGTAGGTAAAACACTCGCGTGTATACCACCAAATGGCCTTCCCTGGACGATAGTTACGTTCAAACTCATCGATAACACTTTGCTCTGCGGGGTTGCCTTGAAAACGCTGACGGCAGTACTTGGCCAGGTCTTTGATTGCTTGTTTGTCATGCTCCATGTCGAGGAGAATCTTCTTAAATATTTGCGTGTACATAAAACTGGGTTCTAGCTGATTGAGATTGGCATTGGAACCCTCTCCTCTTACGGTGACAAAACTCATGGCGATGGAGTCTTGATTATGTTGTTTAACACCCGTGGTCAGCGCTTCACAGATTTCTTTGATATTTGTGTGAACACCTTTGACTTTCGACCAGTTCTTTGCCCAGCTTTCATGTCTGGATTTGTTGCCACAGAAGATGTAGATGGCATTCACTTGTGTAATGCCGTGAATCTCGGGAACCAAGTGTTGACCTAAGGATCCCGATGTGATGACGAAAGCTTTTTCGTCACCAATGCTCTTAAGGAATTGAAGGCAAGCATCTGGTTGAGTGTATATATTGACATCATTGACAACACTTCGTAAGTGCGTCAAAGTGTTCTGACAGTCTTGGTCCTTTTCATCGATGTTGGCATCCACCCAAACTAAGAGGAAGTTTTGAACCATGCGTTGTCGCGGTTGATTACCATGTTTCCTTGTCGTGGAACTTGATTTTGATTTTTGTGCGTCCATTTATTGAATAAACTGAAATTCACAGTATTTTGTTTTGTTGTGAAAAAGAAGAAATTCGCTTCTTTTTTATATAGGCAACGAATGACGTCGTTCTCTTTTTGTATTTTTGCGGAGACGAAAAATGTTTATATTATTGTTTGAATCTTGAGAGAAATTTTTCACAGTAAAAAAGCAAGGAAGAAAAAACATCAACATAAAAATCTCTTTAACCCTTTCCGGTCGGCTACCAGAAAACAGCAAGCAAAATATTTTCTTTATATATATTCTTGTTACTTTAGTTATGAGGATCAATTTTTCAGCCCCGAATTTTTGGAGAATCCCGTACCCCTCTACGGCAAAATTGTATCCATATGGATACACCCGGCTGGAAAGGGTTAAGATACTCGAAACAGGCGAGGCAGGTAAGAAGCCATTAACGAACTTGGTTTTTATTCTTTCCAACATTTTCTTGTCGGTAGTCTCCAGGCAATATTTATTCAAGGAATTGGGTGATTTTTTTTCTTAAAGAACCACATTTGAGGGTGAGTAGAAACAAACTGATTTTAATTCCACCACAAGAAATATAATTTAAAACAGTGGTTATAGTTTATTTTGATTCATCCTTTTAACTATCGTTTATGATCTTAACCCGTAAAAGCTGAGATGTCCCTTCCAAGGGACATTGGATTGATCGCGGTAGAACAGAGGAGTTAAGTTGTATTCATGAAAGCTACTGTTTTCCTGAACAAAGACAGTCAAAATGAATGTGTGACGGAGGAAAATCACGCTAAAACAGTTTTCGCGAACTTCAACATAGCGCCGAGTGCGAGTCTATTTTTAAGCAAAATTGGGTGCGCGGATATTTCTATATCTTGGCATATACAATACAGATTTTGAGTAATATCATGAGAAACAATCGTAAACTGTAATATAAAACAACTTTGCACGTTTTTTACTATTATAAGAAGCCATTGTGACGTGGTAAAAAAAGTACCGTTTTACAGGCATTTTTAGCATAGTAACCTAGGTACTTGTAAATTTTTTGCTCAGTCAATAATCGCAGATACCTCAAAATATCACGAGATTAAATTCACGGTGGCCCTGAACTATACTACATGGTGTAACGACAAACTGGTTGAGTAGCTGACCGCTTCTCACGATATCGATGTTTATTGACTACTCTACATGACCAGAATGTATCTCTTTCACAATAAGACACGCGCTTATATAGAGAAGAGGAAAGAGAGATATGACCCGGAGATAGTATGATATAGAGGTGAGAGGATAAAGAACAGAAAGAGATGAACGATATCATTATCGTTACACATGGTCACCCAAGCGAAAACTTATCAGAATCATACTTCACCCAGACCGTTTGGGTGGAAAGCATTTTTAGCATCACCCAGCGGTTTTGACCATGATATATGCATATTCATACTCCAGAACCTCCATTTATACGATTATTTCATTCCCTGCATTCAAAAAAAAAACCCTTCGGTTTTTAAGGATTAATCAATGCACATGTAAAACACAAAACAGACTTAAATGAATAGGGACATTTCGGATTTTATTCGAAAGTTAGATATGCTGCAAAAAATGTATCAGCTGTAAAATAAAAAGAAAACGCAGAGAATTGTCGATATTTTCTCAATAGTTCAGGAGTCAGATATTCAATCAGTCTGATCTTCGAGTTCCAGTAAGATTCTGACGTAACAATACGCCATTGGAATTCTATCACAATCAAATAAGCCTTTCAGTAGTTATATCCTAGACCGACAATAGAGCACAGTGAGTGATTCTACTAATACGCCCGCTTTCTCACTATATTATGACATGAAAATGTTTTTAATCTGTTGCGACCAACATATTTGTGATACTTTAATTCCCGAAAATCAAGAACAGACTTGGAAACAACTCACCTTCGAGCAGATTTTCGGGCTTCACAGCATCTAGCACATCCTGGATGGCTTTCTTAGCGTTAACGGACACAAAGATAGTTTGGGTGAGTATCACCCTCATCCACACCCTAGGTGGCCGACCGGAGGCAGGCTGACGAGCAACTAGGCGTTTTATTTGAATTGCTTAGAGGAGATAAAATAAGTGAGAATAAACTGAGTTTTTATTCAGAGTAGTCTGAAGAGAGTCGATGAATAAATTTTTATAAACGGTGTTCGTTTTGTTTATGTCTTTGGACGAATGAATTGAAAGTAATCTGACATGAATGAAGCAGAAAATAAAAGAATGAGCATAAAACTGATTTCAATTCGAACCCATATATTAGATTGAGATCTAAGTGAGAGCGTTTATCTATTAGTTTTCTGATAATTTCAGAAAAGGGTCAGCGACTCCAACGGATGAGCGCTACTTGTTTCTTTCTTACTCTGGATCTTCGTTTGTTGTTATTGGGTCCGTTTGAATTGCCTTCTCTTTGCGGTTCTTTTGGCTTCGTTACTTAAACGACAGGGCATTCTAAGCAAGAGTTTTTTTTAATGAATTGAAAGAGGAGATGATGAGAGCATTTGTGATATATGCGATGACTGTTTTCTATATTGAGAACGCTCAGAATAAGTTGATCGGCGAGGAAAGAGGTTCGGTATGAAACTCTATGGAAATTATGAAGGAGTTATTCTTGCTTTCAGCTTTCAGATAGAAAATTGTGGCCGTTAAACATAAATGAAATTGTTTTATGTATACAGGGGGTATTTGTAACAATGGAGAAGGAAACAGCAGGCTTTTATTCAATGAATTTTGTTCTTTCGTTCTACAGCCAGGTATGTGACACATCTTTCACGCGTTCTGTTGACTATTTTACATGTACTGATGATCCGAACAGAATTCAAATCGCCCGATAATTATATTCTTTCCCCATTATGACTTTTAGATGATTGAATTCTAACAAACTTAATAGAGTACAGATGTTTCATGTTTATTTTGTACGAAATGATCAGTATATCCTATTTTTTCAGGTTCTTTATTCTGTTTCTTTCCGACGATTAAACGACCAGTGACGAGCCGAAAATTCATCATTATGTATCAAAGTGACTGATCCAACAGAATCAGCAGAGAAACTAATATGGTATATACTTTTTTCGATTATTTTACATTCCTATAGACCACATTTCTCAGTTAGCTGCATTCAACAAACAAGTTTTGTCTACCAATGAACCTGCTGTGTGATCAAAGGCGAATTTTCATATGAAAACTTTTCTCTTCATTATAAGTGATTTGCTTAGTATTTTTTATTTACACACACACACACACACAAATATATTGGAAAAGGTCCAATACTTTTCGTAATTTCATATATGATGTATGCAGGAAAAGGGTTCAATTGAGAGAAGGAAAAAACAGAAGAAAAAGATTGTACAAAAAGAAACGCAAAGAATTATGACACATTATTTGCTGTTTTCAATTGAAATAGAATCCGCGTTCTTTGCATGCTGTCATGAGACGAAGTTTGAGAATATCTTCATTTGAATAATCAGGCAATTTGAGATAATGGTAACACGTATTAACTGATGGATATGAATTATCATCGGCTTCGACTTTACGTGCCACAGCAAGACGTGGTCGTAGATTAGCGAGACCTAAATGAAGAATCTAAATAGATAATGAACGAGTTTTCCAAGAAAAACAAACCGCCAGGTGGTAATGACGAACAACCGGTAATGAATTGAACAACAGATTTTCTCTCCATGCCATCAAGTTCCATCATCACATTGAGAAATTTCATAAAGCCCGGACTAGAAGAAAATAATAACAATGATTGAACTAAGATAGATTTCAACTAACCTTTCTCGAGTAAAACCATGACTAGGCTCAATGTAATTCAAAAGGTCATCAAGTGACCACGATGGCCATTGATTTCCACAGAGAAGAAGTTTTAATTCTTGTGGATTAAAACATCGTAAATGTTCAATTGAAAAGACTTGACTAAACCCATCTAAAAAAGTACAACATTAATTTGTATTTCATGCATACAATCCCTGATCTTACTTCGAAATGCGTCCATTTGTCGGCGAATACCATCCCGAACGATAAATTCAAGAGACGATTTAACATATTGATCAACATTATCGATTGTTACATCCTAAGTAAGTACAGATTATCGAAAATAAAACATTCATTTCAATACTCTTACAATGTGTGATCCATTCGGTATTAAATCAATCGATTGATAACCGTAGGTATTCGACGGAGGCGAAAAAACAAACGTCAAACTAAAGCACAAAGATGAAATTTTAACGGGATGATTTACAATCAACAAACCATAAATGTTCTAAATTCACGGGTTCATGATGTTCGTTTTCTATTCTTAATTGTGAACATAGCGTTCGTTTTTCTTCACTACTTTTTTGAGTATCAATCATAATTTTATTTCGTTTTTCAATCAATTGATATAATTGTTGAAAGAACTTGCCACGTGATGGTTCAATATCAATTAAATCGTTTATATCTAGTATACCATCGAACCATATTTGTGAATCGTCTTCATATTTCGATTTCATACACAAGAGTTTCAGAAATGCAATGGATAATGGCATATCGATTAAATACTTATCTAATAAACATTTTGCGAAATAAATTCCCATCAAGGAAAAATAATTGCAAACGTCATCAAGCTTAGGATTTGTTTGATCATATGGAATAGGAAAGAGACCTTCCAATTTCCTAACATAGATTGTTTCATGATGCTCACAATCATCATGATTCCACCATAGGCCAAGTGAATGCTGCTGTAATTCATTAGCAATTAAGGCGTAGAATTCTAATGTTGGCCCATCACCTGTACCTTCTTCATTCAAAAATTGAATTTCTAATTTTGCTTTCGATTTTGCATGATAATGAAACAGATTCATAGCATCACGAAGAATATGTTCACGATCAATAGGTGTGGCACGATCGATTTTCAAACGGCCCAAACGAAATTCTGGTGCGAACAAACTCGATCCTGTCGATGAATTCTCATTCGGATTTGACGTGACACGAAACGATGATAATGTCGTTGTTCCGGTTGTTGTCGAACCGCCCAATGGACGTAGTAGTCCACCGGTGCGTGCTGTACGTATCAATTCGTCACGACGTTCTTGCAGCCAAACAATTGATCGTGATGTGCCAAAACTGGTCGTACGAAAGTATAATTGTCGAGTTTCCAATGGATAGAGAAATTTGTATGAGTGCGTTAACCAGGATGTCCACGATGGTAAACTGGCTGATGCAATGATAATTGAATCTTGAATTTGTTGAAGCAGTTTGTTGTTGAGTTTCTTTGAATAGAAATAGCTTTCAAATGAAAGATTATCATCTGGATGATAACGATGAGGATTGCTTTGAATATGAGTAATCAGTAAGTGATATAGTTGACGAAGTAGTTGAAGAATATCTTCGATTGTACAAACATCTTTGGGATCGGCTGAAGATTCATGCGTCGGAAAAATCATATCAAGATCAGTTGGATAAGAAGAGGAAGACGATGGAGAATTTCTCTACAAAACAGAATATCGTATTCAAGATGATTAATGTATTATGCATATTCGAGTTATTTACTTCTGATTTTGATGATAGGTCATTGGATTTCTCAGTGTAAACAATTCTAGAAGGAAAAATTCTATTAGCTCGAGAAAAGTAGCCATCGATTAAAAGAATAGTTACGTGTATGTTGGCTCAAATATACGTTTAATACATTCAGATCTTTGTGATGATGGAAACGGTTTGATTAATTGTTGAATATATTTGAAAATCGTGGCATCGGAATCACTCAATTCAATATCAATTTCTTTTAACTAAAACAAATCAATTTTCATTTGATCGTTGAAGTCAAGAGGGATACAGACTCCTGGCAGAGTTGGTGATGGTCCACGAAGATATAATGTCATATTAGAAGCAGCAGATACATCGGCAGTTGAGATTTGTTTTGATAAAGTAGCTACAATGAATGATTCTACCCGAGAAGAATTCTTTGGAAACAGATCTTCACCTTCTTTCGGAGCCATCGTTGTTGGTACTGAAATATCTTGCGTAGCATTGATATTTGTTCGACCTGGGCGTCCATCAAATGCTGGAAGTAAAACTGCAGAGCAGAAAACGGAGGTTTACAACTAATTCCCGAGCATTTATTCAATTTACCGGAGAACTGTCGTTTTAGAACAAAATCATCATCCCAATTGCGACGTGTGACCGGCTGTTGTCCACCATGAATCTGTTGTTGTAATTGTTCGTCATATTCTTCTTCTTCCTAGAAAAAAAAGGAATTCCGAAGATTCACTGTTTATCAAAGAAAGTCACATTTTATTCGTATTAGTTAGTTATTATAGCCTTAGAGAAGCATGATCACCTGTTCGAAAAACATCGGACAATTCTACAAAGATCAATAGTTTTAATTTCCTTTTCTCTCAAAATATCTTTCTATAAAATAGGGAAGCTTACCTCGTCTTGTTCGGGTTCCTCTTCATCTCCTTCTTCTTCATCATCTTCTTCTTCATCATCTTTTAAAAAAGAAAAACTAGTTAAAATTCCAACGACACTAAGATCTCTTTTTATTACCATTGTGATCCATGGGCGGTGGAATTTGTTGACTGTCTGATTTCGCACGTTTTAATTGGCAATGTTCTTCGTCGTCCATGTCTTCATCCTCACTTGTTTCATCATTTTGTTTTTGCTGCTTATCCACTAAAGGAATATCAGATAGGCTACGTGATTCATCGATCGGCATCGATTCGTCGTCAATAATTGCGACATTAGCAATGTTGATCGTAGTTGACGTGGTTAAATTTGGTGAACTCTGAGCAGTTGTTAAAAGATTCGATAGAGAAACAGTATTTGGATTTGTTGTTGATAAATTTGGAACACTTGCATTCATATCATTTTCTAGTCTATTGTTCAAAGGAGGAAGTGCAAGATTGTTTACGAAAGAAAAGATACGTACAAAATTATACGCTGTTCGGCACATTCACTGGTTGCATTCTTTTTGTTTTCTTCAGTTACTGCGTACATCGATTCAACTGAAGAGAGATTGCAATGATTATCATCGTAACAAGAATAACATTTGACTTACCTGATTCTGTGTTGCTACTGATCGATTGTTGAGAATGAGTTGTAGTTGTTATTGGTGTTGTTTGAGTTGAAGGGAAAAGTCGTGCATGAGGATGAGTATTATCACTCGATGGATTGAATGATGCATGCCCGTGTTTATCTTTTGCATTATCTGAAGTTTAAGAAATAGAGGTCTGAATGAGACAAAATTAAAAGCTGGAAATTCACCTTTTGGTGTAAGTCGCGTTTCTTCGTTGTAGTCTCCGAGTTCAAGCCAGTTGTCAGCATTTCTTGCATCAGAGTGAATGGGTGCTAAGAAATCTTCGGTAGAAGATGAAAGCCATAACGATGTCGCTGGCTCTTCAATAGTTGGTTCGAGTTGCGTTTGAGCCATTAGCGCATCGTATTGTCGCGCTATTTGATCACGAAAGCCTTGCATAAGCTAAATATATCCAAATTCGAAAGAATTCATGATTCTCCAAAAGAAAATTTTACATCGAGAGTATGATCTGCTGGTCGAGAAGATAAGACAAGACTTTCAGCACTCGAAGCTTGTTCAGTTGATGAAACAGAGAAGACGGGTTCGTCATTACTGATATTTGGTGTCGAAACACTTTTACGTTGTGAAATTAAATTCAATAGATTCTACAACAAAGGAGTATTCATCTCTTGAACATTAATGTACGATATATTCGACTTACAGTGTTGTCATTCAATGCTGGTTCACCAGTCAGCCGTGATAATGTTTCTTGTATGACAATTCGTAATCGTTCAGGATCATCCAACTCAAGTGCTTAAACAAAGACATTCCGATAGCATAAAAAATTATTATAATATCATTGAATACCTGCAGATAAATCCAATGGAATTGATGAAAGGTCAACCATCTGATCAAATAAAATTCGATCCAGTGGCGTTGAACCTGACCCTGTAATATTCGAAGAATTGTTCGATGCGGATGAGTTTCCTCCAGACGATACTGTCGCTGTTGTTGTCGTGCCAGACGAACGCATGCTTGCCAAACGTCGCAAGATGTGCGATTGCATTTTACTTGCACGATTACTCGTTGATGATGATGATGATGATGATGTCGAATGTGAATGGTGATATGGAGGAGTTTGACGATATGTTGTTGAATGATGTCGAAGATCATCACGAGCTGAACGAGAACGGTTCGTTTCTGGTTCTATATGCATGATAGAAATGGTTACTGTCCTAAATATACGTTTTCGGAACTTACTTGAACGAATGTCTATAGCTGAAATGACCTGACCATAGATTTCAAAACCAGAAAGACAAACAGGATGTCGACTACATTTTTGATGAATACGAATATATCGAAAACCTGATGAGTTCTCATTTAAATTGTTCTTGATGACCCATGTTGCTACTGATGCATTCGCATCATTAACCAACGATATGTCGCATGGGATAAAATGTATTCCATCTTTCGATATTTGAAATAGAAACGTCTTTGTCCAATGTGGAAAACCACCCGTGCCATGTCTCAAGGTAAAATGTGTAGGAAGAATGAATAAACCTAAGTCAATCATAATCCAACTGAAAGCACGACTCGTTTCATCGTTCGTTTCTTCATCATTGGTACGTGTTATGTGCGAAAAAATTGCTGATATTTGTTGCGATGTACAATTTGCATCCGAACAAGTCACTAAATAGTTTGCAAAGAAGTGTGAATATAGACGAAGTACTTTGTTTTGATGAACTACCTGAGACAAGCCCAGTTAAACTAAGATTTGTATAATTTGACACGGTTCCTGCGTTCGTTCCGATCCAATACAGAATGCCATTTTGATCGAATTCATTCATATAGGTAAATTGCTGTCGACCATTGGATCTCAGTTGTTTTACAAATTCCAGCTGACTATGAGGATGATCATACCATTGTTTGGACACCTACGAGAATGGACAAAGTTCAACAAAATTGCCTAGGAGAAATCAATATTTACCATTGAGGTGAGAAATGTTTTCAGTTGACCGACTGTAGCCAATGGTTCGATTTTCAATGACTTTCCTGTTCGATCTGTGAATATCTGTTGTTGATTTTGATAGTGGAGCTGCAAACGAAAGCGTTTGGAGAATATTTGTAATCCATAATTTGACGGTGTATCATAGAGAAATAATGGTAGTTTTTCGATTGATTCAAGAATTGAAATCAACTTTCTGATAAGAATATGAAATGCATGTGGATGATCATCGGCAAGAAAAGTTGAACAGAATAGCTTTGCGCGTTCATTTGCAAGGTTCGTTTCATCCGATGTCTGATTGAGTAGATTGTGAAAGATTTTTAATAAACTACCAACAAGACCCGATGATGAGAGTTCGTATAATGATAAACTGGTTTTGTCAAGTAGAAATTCTTTCAATTTCTGAAATGATTTTACATTCAAATCATTGTTTAAATCGCCGACGATCGATGTTAGGTCATTCAATATCGAACGTGTGTAATTTGTAGCTGTGACATTTTTTAGATAATCGTTGTAAATATGTAGTGCTAATTCGGTTGTGCGATGTTTCATTTGTTCTTGTTTAGTTTTACCGACTGGAACGGATCCAGCCTTGGCAAGTGAACTATTCGTCGGAGAATCGTCAGAGTGCGACGATGAAGAAGTCAATGTTTCAATAGTTGACCAGGGAATAGAAAAATCATTTCCTAATGACATTTGAGCATGATACGTATGCCGTGTGCCACGATTGGATTCAAAGACAAAGCCTGGTTGGCCTTGTTCGAGAATAGTGATCTGTTCGCCTTCTACATTATGTACGCGAAGTTGTGTTGGTCCATTACATTCAAATGTCCAATTTCCGACGGTGATTGTTCGCTCATTACTTGTATCTGATGTAAAAATCGTTCGTGCGATCATTATCTGTTGGTGTTGCTGTGTTTGTTCATCATTCGATTTGACTTCTTCTTCGTTTTTCTCTTGTCCAATTCCGTCAAGTACTTGTTGTTTAAGTCGTTGAAGTTTGTCAATGAAATCATGTCGATTCTCATTCGTATCTACATTTGTTTCCGGACTTCCTAAAATTCATCGAAGTTATTTAACAGAATTCACCTATGCAAGAACATGAAATTAACCTGACGAATACATTGTTGATAGAGAATTATCAGCGAAAAAACGAAACCATCCATTGGAACCCATGGATAATTCGATGGCGATAGAACCATTCCATATATATAAGCATTCTCGATTACGTAAAAGATTAAATTCATTCCAGACATAAGGACGATGACAAAGAATTTCTTTTGCATCAATAGCAAGTATAGTAATTGATAAGGATGATTGTTGTTGTTGGTGGTGGTCAGAATTTGTGACTGTTGATAATGAAGTCGATCCTGCTCCTGTGTGCGACAATGCTAATGATGTTATTTTCCATATTAAACCAAGGTATTGAAATTGTTCGAGAAATAACTGTTTATCTTTTTCAAATAGATTTTTGATTATTAATAGAACAAGATTGGATGTATCATCATCGTCTTCATTCGTATCCAAAATTGAACTTAATAATTCGAATAATGTCGTGGAAATATTCGTCTCACCTTTCATTAGGTATTCTCGTATCTGATCGACTGTTGCATAATGCAATAATTTCGAGATTAATCGTAATGTACTACGTTTGATTGTTAAAATCATTGTATTTTGATATAGTTGACAAAAGATCGATAATAAACGTTGCAAATATAAAGGTTGCATTTCCACATCACCTTTGATTTCATTTGTTGTTGTTGTTGTTGATGATGGTGATGCTGCTGCTTCCGTCGCCGATGATGTTGTGGCCGTTTGTTCAAAAGCTTTCGGCGATGAATTTGAATTTGCTAACGTTGCAGAATCTTGTCGTCGTATATCTGTCCATTCGTGTGCCGATTGAAGAATTTCTACAACTTCTTGATGGCCTTCATCTTGCCGTTCACGTGCTTTATCCAGCGCTGTTCGTCCATCTTCATCGCGTAAATCAACATTACCACCGTATTTTAATAGAAGACGAACGATTGATGGCCGCCCGAAACAAGCCGCATAATGTAGAGATGATGAACGTTGTCCACGATTAGCATCAGCGCCACGTCGACAAAGGTATTCAATCATTTCACGTGTGCCAAAAGCAGCAACCCAATTCAGCATTGTCTGACCAACATTATCCGTATAATTGACATCGATGTTATTCTGTTCGATATGATTGATAAAACCTTGGATGTCACGTGAACGAATATATTCAATGACTTGTTGTTGAGAACGATCAGATGGAATGATGCCATTGTTCGCCACTGTTGTTGCTGATGAAGATGATGAACGTCGGGCTGTCTCAGGGGGTGTAGCGGTTGTCGATATGGTAGGATTCGATATATTTGATGTTGCTGTTGTATTCGATGCAACTGAAGCACGCGTCGTACCAACTGGACGTGGAAGAGCTTGGCGTCCTAAATGAGTCATTTGAGTTCAAGGCTACTTAACATTTCCGCTCTCTCATATCGTCAAAGATTGATTGGAACGAGTGTCTACTGCGAAATAAATATCTTCAAGGTGTTCATATTCATAAGTGATAATAAGAACTCATCGGTGTCCAAAGAAAGAGGAAGAGGTACTCACCTTCGAAAAGAAGAACTAGAAGTAGATCTAGAAACCGCATAGTATCCAAGACACATCGTTCGTCACCACCGCACAATGCTGATTCTAACGCATCAGGAAGGTCGGTACGAAGAAGATCATGTGTGACTTTCGCACTGCCACGACACAGAGTCGATAGAAGACCAGTCACAACTGAGAGATTCGTTGTAACACCTCGTGTATTCGATGTTGACAATGATACACTATGTGTTGTTCCAGCCGCATCTGCTGTCGGTGTCGATGAAACCGGCGTTAATGCACTACCCGTTGGTTTCGATACATAATGTAACGATCGAAGTAGAACATCTTTCAAACAATAACGCATTAACGGCTCTGGATCCACATTTTTCCTTGCAAACCGATCAGCTAATGTTGCAAAACATCTCAATGCATTATCGGACACAAATGTGTCATCATGTAACAATAAATTTGATAATGATTTGATCGTTCGATCGAGTGTCGGTGAATTTTGTGGATCGATTTTTCCAATTAATTTGACAACAACATTCAGTGCTGATTGTAACGAATCTTTATGTATAACCGAATACCAATTGTTAATAAAATCTAATACGCAACGAAGACCATCTTGCTCATAAATACTCGATGCTTCTCGTGAACATAAACGTTCGAACACTTTGATGATCTGTTCAGCTAGATCTTTGTTTGTACGATCATCAATGTCGACGACTTGCAAACAAGCGCACATTGAACGTATAGCTGACGAATGTTGAGTGATTTTTTTCGCACAATCAACCGATACATCCAGAAAGTACGTTAATGCGCGTGCAGTGACTTCGAGAACACGAGTCGGAGCTAATGGATCACTGAATATATCACAGAGAGCTAGAAAATAGTCAACATATAGCAATTGGAGAAAACAAAAACATGCGAAAAATTACCCGGCAAGAAAAGTCGCGGCTGATACCTGAAAATATACACGATCAAAAGATTACTTGAAATTATCGAGAAAGCTTACTGTTCGAAACATCGATCGATATTGTCGCACATCAATACAAGCATACCTAAAAGATATCATGATTAGATGACAAGTAGAAGTATTACATGATTTCACTTACAAAGTTGTTCCAATGCCGATATTTGTAGATCACGTTCACCACCTCCATCTCCCTTAAGCCATACTAAAAGTTCATCTGGATCCGCTTCCATCGTATAACTCTACTGTTATTTCCGTAGAAACCCGTGTTAGTGCATGTACGTCTCTATTTCTCTATCTGAAATTATAATACATATTCCCATTCTAGTCATTGTAACATTATATAAAAAAAGCAAACATTCTACTGAATAAATGGAATAGATGTCAACATCTGACAAGATAAATGAAATATTTTTAAAGGAAAAAAAGAACTACAGACATTCGGTTCATTCCTGAGATTATTGCGTATTTATCATATCATCTGAGAAGAGAAATGGAATTAGTTAAGTGCAATCATTGACAGTTATCTGTTGAGAACGATGTGGACTATAACTACTCGTTGATGAACAGCGAGATAAGCCAGTTCGCCATAAATATTCAATCGATTCGAAATCATGATGAATATCATAGTAACGATAAGTTTGATCTTGACTATTGACTAAAGGTGTTTTAGTTTGGTTAATATTGTCTTTAAAACGAAAATAATGTAGTTCAAATTTGTCGCTGTAAACATCACGAGTTTTATCATCACAACGAATAACATTGTAATGAATATCTCCAAGGATATAATATGAATCTGGCTGTTGAAATTGAAATGCAATGGAATAATCAATTGATTTCGTTTTTAATTGTCGGTCAAAGATTTGAACATCTGAATCGTTCAATTGTTGAAAACAGGTTCGATTGGTACGTTTTACGCAGAACACATCTTCTTGATGATTGATTGTATAAAGGAATATTTGTGGACTTTTTTCAATGATCTTGTCCATATCCGTCAAATAGATGTATTTTTCATAGAATTTTGGCGAACGAAGAAATACTCCAACATTATGAAAGTATTTCTGATGAGCAAATTTAAATTGTGTAAAGTCAGATGGCTTTTCTAAGTACACATGTCCGAAACTATCGATTGGTAAACTGGCAATGATATGTATGGCTGTTGAAAGTATAAAAACAAATACAACGCCAATGGTTGATATTGTATTGAAAAATTTTGATAAATTGTCTTTACGTTGGTAATCATGACGAATGAGCCATTTGTTCAAAAGAACGGAGAAAAATCGAATCAATGAGGCGATAATACCAATAATGGCTTTCGTTAAACTTATGTAAGTCACTTCACCATCACGACAAATAACAATCAAAAGATTCAGTGTTAATAACGGAACATCTTCAAACCACAAGGTTAAACCATTGGTTATCTGACCGAATAAAGATGTTGGACGATTTTGACAGGTATCTCGGATAATTTGAATTATTTCAAGTATGCTCGTGCACGTGGCTATAATGCAGAATATTCGTATTGCCCAAAGTGTGTTCTGACGTGGCGGACCAAATACTAATCCCTGGAAACACAAGACAACTATGTTGATGCGAATGCAGCGTTCGGCTCACTCGTTTTATTGTCCCGTTGTACACGAAAAACCACCAATCGACACAGATATCAACTATATTGAGAATGACGACAAACAAACATATGGAGATTCTGTAAGACCGACTGTTAATCAATCGATGTAGCCATTGACATCCAGTGCGTTGCTGCTGCTGTTCCATGTTAAATATATTGCTCAATGGAAGATTAGACTTCGCCATCTAAAAAAAATGAAAGAAAATCTTTCAATGGAATTTTGTTCATTATTTATTTAATGTTCATCTTTGATTTCTATTCTGTCTAGGTTAAGCTATGAAAGATAATCAGCTGTTGAAGATCAATCGTCATTATCAATGAAATCGTTCCTCTATAGCTTTCTGATAGAAAAAAAACAATTGGATAAAACGAAAGTGACATCTGTAGGTACTCTTTGACTAGCTATATAGACAAGAATCGTTCCTATGCATCAAACAATAGATCACATTCGATTTCCAAACCAAATACAAAAAGATTGTGATTCTATAGTATGCATAAAATTGCAAGTTATCATTCCTTTTCTTGATCGTTGTTCGCGCCATATCGAGATATAATCATCAAAGTTGCTATCCATAAACGAAATAATTCTCAGACTACGTAGTTGTTTCATTCGGCATAATATTGGTGTGGTTGTTTTAGGACTGGCAAATAATCCCAAGGATAAATGTTGACATTTTCGTGAGAAAACACGAACTAATGCAATAAGTGATCGGACACTTACATAGCTCACAGTATATAAATTTGAATTGGGATCATCTAGAGTTAAACTTATGATTTGGTCTGATAGTCGATTGCATATGGCTTCATCCGTATAATTATCAGTAAGTTCTTTCAACTTATTCGAAGCAATAGTCAACGAACGAAGATTCAATGCATATTCAAGTAATCGACCGAATTCAGTTTTGGTCATACTTGAGTTATGTGTAACATGTAAATCGCGCAATACTGGTAAGAAATAAAACCAGTTTGACGATAATGTGCTGTTTAAAGTCAGATGAACGATATTTGATGGCATTAGACCATTGTATGGTACCTCGCAATTTTCATTGAGCACCAATGTGTTAATTTTCGAATAAAAATGGTTTCTCGTTTTCGTTCCATTGTCGAGAGGTAATGTAGAAATACTTGTGTCGAGCGTTAGTGAATTGATATAGAATGTTGAGAAGGCAAACGGTAAAGAATATATAGCTCCTCGACATTGATGCGACAGATCTCGATCGCATTGGATAAACCAACGTTTCTCAACTAAGTAAAACGGAGTCGAAAATGATGCAATTGTTTGATTTAGATCACCATTTACAAGATAACCTCCTTGTTCATAAGGAAAATAAAATTGAAATGTGTGCAACAATGGTAATGACGAAACAATCAGTTTTTCCCAAACCACTCCGTCTGGCAATCGACTGAGCTGATTAGTATTACATACAGACAGCAATCTTAGTTGTGATAATTGAGATAGTGCTCTCAAAAGTATATTTTCTTCGTCCACTGTGTTATATGTCACTTTGAGATGGACTAATGTTGTTGGGAATATAAGGCCCATCGTACGATGACATTTGCTTATGATTTTGTAGCGGAACTTTTCCAGAGAATGGAAATTCTAGAATAATTATGAAAAAAATCATGGGATAAAGTGCTATAATTATTTACCGTGATCCATTGAGTATGTCCGCATGAAGTTAAATTAAGTTGCTTTAATGATGGTAACCGAATAGATTGGACAAGCACTCCACAAATATTTCCGACTGATAGTGAAACGAGATTATCAAATGATCTCATTTGACGGAAAAATCGTTCTTGATAGTTTTTGGACATATCTATGATAGTTAACGATTGTAATTGAGAAACATGTTCTACCAATGGATATGATTCACAGAAGAATTGTATTTGTCCACATGTATTACTCTCATTCGAAAGACACAGTGATCGCCATCGATGCATGTCATGTAAAGCAATAACTGCCTCAAGTTTTGCTTTACTGACAGATTGAAAATCGAAATTCTTCACGAAATCATTCAATAGGCATTGGAAACGATAATTAAGTCGATCAAATCCATACACAGTATCAACACCATTCAAATAATCAAAAACGTCGATGATGATTTCATTTGGGAGGTTTTCAAATACAGTCAGTTCCCGTTTGAAACGCTTTTTTTCACTCATGGCGAGAAACTAACTACAACGGCTGTCAGACAATAAAACACGCGGTAGATTTTACAATGCAGCTTTTGATTACTTGCTTCTTACGTTTTTCTTTCTTATATATATTTGACGTATATGAATCATACAGGGTAGGAAAAAAGAGAGTAAACAATTCGGAAAAAACCTAGTTTGCCGGTACTTTCACTGATGTAAAAGCACATGGCCAAAATGAGTAGACTAAGACGCGTGAAAATAAGTTACGTACCTGCTTACGTTCACCATTCCACGTATGAGTAAGAAAGCGTATGCAGGTACATACACTTGATCGAAGTTAAAAAAAGAATATGCATGCCATCAACACATGATGATAAGCAACCAGCGAAAAAAGGAAGAAAGAAAAAAATGAGTAAATGTGCATACCAATGAAACTATACGTCATACTCTGTAACTATGATTTATCGAGAGAGAAGTAGAGCGAAGATGTTTGCACTTCTCTTTATCATGATAATTGAAATTGAACTAGTTGTACGGTCATAGTGCTCGCATGATATCGAAGAATAGCACCAGAATATGTTCAGTTCGTTTTCAACGATCACCATGTACGTCACGTCATGACCCCATACATAGGAATAGAAAATCATCTCTTGTCTGCACGATCGCATGTAATATGATCCATATTCGACGTTTTCATTCGAACTTGCATCTTTAAAATGTTCAATCAATCGATGATTGCCATTGAATTTAACGATCAAAGACTTTCTTAATGACTAACCTTGCTTTTTTCTCTAAGTTAATATCATTTTTAATATGATAAAATGCTTAACATGCACTAATCAAGATCAAGCGAACGAGTATGATAAAATCAATTCTCTTTGCAAGAATCAACCCTACGTTTAATTTTGTGAGTAGTTCTCAAGGCGAACGTTCTAATGAGCAGTGGCAAGAGGTGAAAACTTAGAAAGGAAAAAAAAGCTCTACACATGTTTTATTGATTACTGATCCAAAAGGTGCATTCGTCATTGTTTATAGTAAAAGAACAATCTAAATCTTTGACGATATCTTGTTTCGTCAGCCAATCGTGTGTAATGATTGATTGATCATCAGTTTTCAGATAAACTGTTAAGCTTTGCAGCTTTCTCATCGTTGGTAGTATAGAATCTGTAATAATGTTCTTGGAAGATATGAGTATCGTTAGATGTTCGCATTTTTCAGCAAAAACATCCAGTATGGAAAGAATTTCGTGTGAACCGACATAATGAAGTGTGGAATACGATCGATTTTGATCAAACGATAAATTTAAAGAACGAACCTTGGCAGATAATTGATCGCGAATCAGCTTGCTTTTCCACTCATCCGTAAGGTTGGTTAATTTCGTAAACGAGGTGTTCAATGAGTCTAGACATGGCATGTTTTTTATCAAATGAAAAAAATCCTTCGATAACATATCTATCTGATTACACAAGGATAATTGACGTACATACACCATCGAAAATAACCAATCAGCTAAGATATCCGAACGTGTTAAGACTAAATGTTGCACATGATCATTCTGTAGGTTAGAATTTACGTCGTCGCATTTAACATTCACAATTAGTGTTTCCACTTTTCGAAAGAAGTTTTTGTGTGTTAGATGAATATCGTTGAGCGTTGTTTTGCTTCGAGCGAAGGAATCAGTGTGTAATTCGAATTGGTCGAAAGCGAACGGCAACGAATAAAGAACTGCCTCGTGAAATTGATTGCTATGCGTATCACATTGAACGAAACAACGTTTTTTCTGGTAAAACAGCGTTGTAAACGTTGAAAGGATTTGATTTATATCCGTCAATGAGAGAGTATCGTACCAAAATTTAAAACAAAACTGAAATTTAGTCAACAATGGTAATGACGATTCGATTAAGTTCTGCCATCTATTACCATTGGGATATGATTTTGCCCAGGAATTATCATAGATTGCCAAGCTTTTCAACTGAGCCAGATATTGTAGCGATGCGTATACATGTTCGCTCGCTTGCCACTGCGTAAAATAGATTTTTAGATGTTCGAGTGTTGTTGGCCATATGAGGCTATGTTCGTGAACACAGTCTAGTTTGATGTTGTAGTCTAAATTTTTCAATTGTTGAAGACTCTAGAAGAGAAGTCTTCAATACGAAAGCACAGCTAATCAGTAAACACACTTACTTGTATCCATTTGTTATATTTACACGAAGTAATAGTAAGGCTTCGAAGTAATGGTAGATTTAATGTCCCTATTTGTTTTCCGCATATATTTCCGAGTGTTAAGGAAACTAAACTAGTAAAGATTTCTAGTTGTGGTAATAGTCTTTGTGCATAGTTTGGCTTCATATGAATCAAAGACAAGAATTTCAATTGAGACGTGTGTTGCTGATAAGGAAATTGTTCAAAGAAGAACGCTATTTGTCCAGGTGTATGTTCATCATCAGACAGTCTCAGTATCTTCCATTGAAGAGCCGCAAGCCTGTTGTGTTCATGGATGAAACGCTTCATTTTCGCTTTACTTACTGATTTGAAGTCGAATTTATTTTGATGCGCATGAACTAGAATTCGAAAGCGCTGGTTCAATGGCGTAAAACAATATATCACATCCACACTGTTCAGGTAACTAAACGTTTCAAGGAGGAGTTCGGTAGGTAGGTCTTCCATCACGGTCGGCTCATGTTTTGAACGTTTCAAGCATGAGACCTTCTTGTTACTTGGCGTATACGGCGAGGTATACTGCCGCTTGTCTGTCATAGCTCGATGTGAGTAGACAATGTTACTGCCGTTCTCATGCGCTTGTAGCACAATACAAAATTCCGCGAAAATGACGCTGAGTCATGACGTGGAGAGACGACGGCAAAAGAAAGGAGATATTCTTCGAAAACATTTGGTGCAATGATGTCATATACATACGTGCACTGCTTAATCAATGACGATTTAGGAAGTGAATTAATACCATGTAATTCACAGAAACTAGTCATTGATTAAACAGTATTTAGTAGCACCTAAAAAGTACTTAATATATTGACTTCGCATAATTTATAGTCACGATTTATTTAACTTCACCGGCTTTCAACGAGATGCGAAGTTATACATAACGTATGTTTCATGTTTAGCAAATATTAAAAGGTGTTTTCTTCTTTCAATTGACGCTGTTTTGATTAAACATAAGATATCAATGTTGTCTCAAAAACACGTAAGTTAAGGTAAAATCAGCACAAGGTTGTTCTCTGTTCTATTTGTTGACACAAATAACTGCTATAAAGCAGTTGAAGTTATTTTGCTTACGACAACATTGAAAAACATAATACTTAAACTGTTATTGATGTGTTGTGACAATTGAATTGATTTTCAGCGAGAAAATCCTATTCAATGTGACTTATTCACATGCAAAGTTCAAAATCGTTTCGAGATAAAGGAATATGGTTATTCGGGTTTTTGGTCGATGTTATTTATTTTTCTTCTTGTTTTCAGCTCAAAAAAATGCATTAAAGTGATGGATAGTCGAGTACAATTATTGAGCCGATCTCGATTTTGTATGCGTTTGCCGATGACAGGTGTACAAAGTAGGAAAATTGCTCGAATTTCGAAAAAATAAAATAGTACACGAACAGAGAAATAACTTGACGGTATATAAAAAAATATGANCTTCAGAAACAGTTTCACGATATGAAACGACTGGATCAGAAACTTTGATTGGAATGCAAGCGTGATCTTCTTCAAGATCTTTCAAGCAAATTTCCAAATGTAATTCACCAGCACCAGCAACGATGTGTTCACCCGATTCTTCGATGATACATTGAACCATAGGATCCGATTTGGCTAGACGTTTTAAACCTTCGACTAATTTTGGTAAATCAGCTGGATTTTTAGGTTCAACAGCGACACGCACGACAGGGCTGACACTGAATTTCATGACCTAAAAAGAAGATTTGTTAAAATAGTCGTTTATATCGAAACATGCATAACTTACACGAAGATTGTGTGCATTTTCAAAGGTGGTAATTGTACCGGTTTTAACCAAATATTGATCGACACCGACAAGACCACAGATGTTACCGCATGGTACATCTTCAATTGGTTCAGTGTAACGACCCATCATAAGAATTGTACTAGATAGAAGAAAACAGAATATATGTATAGAGGAAAGAAGAACTTTGATCGAGAAGAATCATTTGTGTGAAAATCAGATTGGGGATATATTCCGTCAATACAAAATTTGGATGGGGAATCCGCGTATCATCATCTTTTCACATCAAAATACAATGTTCAATACATACCGTTGGATACTTTTAACGTAGAGATCTTCCTTTTTGCCTGGTACGTAGTTAGGACCCATGATACGTGCTTTTTGACCAGTTTGAACAACACCAGAAAAGACACGACCGAAAGCATAGAAACGACCTTTATCAGATGTCGGTACCATTTTAGAGATGTACATCATCAATGGAGCGTTTGAATCGCAGTTCTTGATACCCATAAAGGCTTCATCATCTTGTGGACCTAAAAAAATAACAGACGTTCATTAAGAGCACGGTCAAGCGAGAAGTAGTGACAATCATACCTTCATAGAGAAGTTCAGCACGGTATTTTTGTGCAACGACGGGTGATGGTAAGTGAATGGCAATCATTGTTAAAAGAACATCACCAGCTGGTAACCATTGTTTCATGACAAGTTTCAATAATGGCTTGCCACCTTCTTCTAATTTGTCTCGATCGTCACCTTGTAATTTAATGTTCAATTTGTCGAGTAATGCTGTGTATTCGTCTTTTTTGCAATCCATAATAGCTCGGAAAACTTTAAAGATTGGATCAAGAACGAATTGACAGAAACCACGAACGTAACCTGAACGAAAAGCGACTGTGAAAGTTCTTTCGTTGAACAAAAGACGGCTTTACCTTCGCCACCGGTTTTGGACCATTTCTTTTCGGATGCTGAGAAGAAGTTGTCACCCCACAATCGTTTCATAAGTTTGTCAACCTCGATTTTGAATTTCGATGCATACATTTCAGCGAATTCTTTGAGTGTAAAAGCCCAACCATGAAGACCGGCACCAAAACCAACCGTACCTTTTGTTGGGTCAACCTAGAACAAAACATGCACCGTTAAAACAAGATCGATTGATTTAGGAAAGGATTTGTTCCAACATTTGCTCTTATGTATTATGACAAGCAAATCATCTACATCTTGATTATGAGGAAAGCTTCTACTCTCGGCACAGTTGAACCACCGTATGCATATGAAAAGGAAACGCATTTGGTTGGCCTATGAACTGGCCATGATGGGAAATGACGGGGAGTTCTTGAACTTACTTGTAATTCACCCATTGGACCGCTATCATCACCATAGGTAGCAATGATGACGTTGACGTTTTCAACAATACGTTGAAAGGTTTGGAAAAGATCTTCTTGTTGAAGTTGTAATTCGAGTAAAGCACGGTCCATTTTATTCATGAATAAGATTGGTTTGATACGTTCAGCAATAGCTTGACGAAGTACTGTTTCAGTTTGTACGCACACACCTAAACAATGCCAATCAAGTCAAGTTCATTTTCTGTACCACATGATTTGTCATTTATTATTTACCTGAGACGCAATCGACGACGACGAGAGCACCATCGGTGACACGTAAAGCAGCAGTAACCTCGGATGAGAAATCAACGTGGCCCGGTGAATCGATAAGATTGATTAAGAAGTGTGAAATATCTTGTTCACGTTCTTGTTTGATGAATGGTAAATCTTTGGCAGGTAATTCATAAAAGAGTGAAATAGCCCTTCAAAAGACAAATACGTCGACAATTCAAGAAACAAACACATGTGATAAGGGAGAGACATACGTTGATTTGATGGTAATACAACGTTCTTGTTCATCCTTGCGAGTATCAGTAAAACGCATTTCACCAGCCTTTTGTTGAGCAATGATACCAGCTTTGCACACAAGTGAATCAGTTAATGTTGATTTGCCGTGATCAACATGAGCAATGACGGACATGTTACGGATGTTCTTCTTCTTGTCCATCAAGCCCCGAATTTCGTCGACAGTAAAGTTAACCTGAACACACATAGATGCCTGATTAGCCTAATGTACATCTTCTATCTTACCATGGTCGGGTGTTTTTAGTAGAATATTCAAAATTTGAAATGAGATGGTATTGATTTGTTGCCCGACGAGAAGGATCTTTCTAAAATGGCGAAAATGCACAGTTTTGAACGACGAAATACGAAAACGAGGTATATTTATAAAAAAATTTAGTATAAGTATTGCACAATTACAATATTGCTGGGCGAAGTCGAAGGGGCAACTGTAAAGAGGGGCAAGAGAAGCCTGTAATGCTCGAGTCATCGTATAAACATCGCATCTGCTCGCTAGATCAGACGAGAAAGAATAAGGAGAAGGATCGAGAACATAAATGCGAAAATGGCTGACGATGACGCTATTTTTTGTTTTCTTTGCTGATTTATTTATCTGATGAGGGTCGAAAAGTTTTCACGCATAAATCGATTAACACATATTAGTAAAATTAGTTTTTTCATCATTACTTTCTTATCTCGTATTAATTAATCTAAACTGGAAATAATCCACAATATTGTGACACACTAATGCACTTGAGATTTTGCATTAATGACTCAGTAGTTGTTGCTTAGAATCGGATTCTGCAAATGGTGATTATTGATGGATTATCTCTTTCGAATATATCGAGTACTCCAAATTTCATGAAGACTTATATAAGCTAAATTGATATCTTTTAATGAAAATGAGCAGCTTGATTGATGTTTTTTGTAGTTCACAGTTTTTTTCACACTATTGTGCGAACAAGGAAATGGTCATGAATTCTGTGACAAGTCTACATACGATTCATATCGAGATGTAAGATATAAATATTACAACGGATTATTCTCACAATATTGTTAGAAAAAAACCATAAGTCCACTCTGTTGTCGTTTTACTTCATTCGACACAATCATTTTACATAAATTATATCAACCTTGATACAAAATAGTCAAAGTAACTTGATCATCGAAGGTTATCCAGTGAAAGAATTAGTATAATTGACATCGTGTCATATTGACTGATTGATTGATAGAAAGATCGTTAAATGTGATCTAATCGTATGACGAAATTCAAAATATTAGATCATATTATCTATTTGCTGATCAATCAAAACATCATCGATCTACTTCTTCAATATTTGAAATAGATGATGCAAGCTCTTCAAATGTATCGTTCGTCGCGCACTTCAACAGTACTGTTAGTAAAATTTCGAACTCGGTCAACGTGTTATGCACATGTTTGCCAATGGCAGAGAATAAAAGAGAAACAATAATTCTCTTGTGTCAATATCTCCATCAACATTTTGATTACAAAATTCAATTTATATTTCATTTTTATATTCACTCTTTTTCGATTTACTACTAATTACAAATTCTTCAACATAACAAATGAATCAACAATATATAATCATCATGTGCATTTGCCAGTGTTCAATCAGCAAATATCATTACAATTCATATGTCAATAAAATCGTTCGAAGATGTGTAGACAAAAGTTATTAGGAAGAGGGATGGTCATTTACAAGAGTAGAAAAACGCAACACTATCGAACAAGAAAAAAAAAGAATGAACAAATGAATGAAGATGAGACAACATTGAGGCAGAGGCGGAGAACGAACGAGCGAACGAAGGAATATATTGAAGACACGTTCGAATGATGACTACGGATTAACGCATACACATATATGTATACATAGAAGCAGAAGGGCAATCAACGATTGACCACTGATTGACAGTAACACGTTCATTACTTAAATCTTCGGAGAAATACGACAAAGAGAAAAGAATTAGAACAATTTTGATCTATACCTTTCCGATAGCGACATTGATAGAAGTCAATCATTTAATCATAGTAAGTCATCATTTCATTTTCAATTCAACTATAAAACGTTCTCTCAAATATCACAGTCAGGCTTGCCATAGACGAGCACTTATATATCCTGCGAGACAAATAGAGAGACGGTGTGCATCAAAAAAGAGTGAAAGAACGTTGCAAGACGATCTGACATGGAGTCAAACAGACAATTAACCTACTTCTCTTGATGATAGAGATTGTCGTTTTGTTATGTTAACTTCATTCAGTTAATCCTTTCTCGTATAGGAATAGCGAAATACTATGTACAATGTGGCCAATAGTGAAAAATTTCTCTTCTAATTATACATTGCCCATTCGTTTTCTTCTATGTTTTAAAAGATATATTTATTCCTTTATTCAGAAGTTTTCTTATTGATCATTATACAACGCAAAAGAAAATAAATGGCAATGGAATGTTTCGAACGAGTAAGTGCTTTCCGAATCAAATCACTTTAATATATACTTTCCTCACTTCTTTCTCGTGTTAATTGGATGCGTTCTTCTTCACCCGGATCGGATAATGTAGGACTTTCTCGAATTTCTATAATATACCTAGGAGAAACGCCGCGTGACATCTTTGCTGGAATTGTAGATGGTAGAGGTTTTTCTGAAGTAAGAGATGGTGATCTTTGAATTAGTAGTGATGGTGATTTGTGTGGCAGCTGCGGTGGTAGTGATGGTGGTGGTGGTGGTTGTGTTGGCGGTATAGATTTCTGTCGAGCTATGGGCGCTGCTTTTTGTTGTGTTGGTGGTGGATGCTTTTGCGATGATGGCAGTGGTTGTGCCTTCTGCTGTGTCGATGGCGGAGCCTTTTGTTGAGCTGTTGTTGTTGTTGTTTGGGGTGTCTTTTGTGATGCAGCAATAGTCGGTGGTTGTTGTTTTGGAGTATTTGTAGAACCAGTTGTACTTTTTTCATGTTGATGAATTGAACGACGTTGCAAATCGGCATCTGAATTTGGTTTAACAGATGGATGGAAGGTACGCATTTGTGCTGGAGCTGCTGGTGTTGGAGCAGGACGACGTTTGGTTTTACTTACAACTGTCTTTCTCGCAGGACTATTTCGATCAGTCACAGATGGAAGTGTGCGCTCTGTGTGCTGAACAAATGACCCTGACGTTCCAATTGTAATCGATTCGTGCTCTTGACTTTGATGATGCATGTCAGCCGTAGGCGTAGGAGAACGTGATGCCGAATGCTTTCTTGAGGTTGGCATTGTTCTTACAGTTGGTGAAGCGTGACGTCGTTTAACTGGATTCTCATATAATTTCGTTAGTGTTTGCAGACTTTCAGACGGTACTGCCGGTCCAGAAAATACATCTGGTAAAAATGCGGTTGAGACGGGTACTAACCGTTCTATTCGACTTTCATATAATTCAGGTACTAAATCAACATATTCTGCTTTGAATGTTCGCCATTTTTCCGTGCGTTTAATCTTTTCTGCATTACGATTAATTAAACGAATGCACGCATTTTTCAATGAATCGGAGCCTGACTCATGTGCGCTAATTAATAATTCTATGGCATTTTCGATTGTCAGTCGCGTGAGAAGAAAATCGGATACTTGCTTTCGTAGTTTTTCAATTTCAAATCGTTTAGCAGCTACTAGTAAATCGGATGCATTTTTTAAACTGATCAAACAACGATTGGTATAGATAAAATTCAGTATTTCATTCATCACATCGGATTGAACATCATCGATACTAATTTGTAAAACATAATCATCTTGAGAATCCGAATCATGGTATTCGCCTAGCAGATGTCTAAACCAAGGTGATCGCCCACCTAGACAACAAATATCTATACAAGCAAAACAACAACAACATCAAATTTCAGATCTTACCAAGAATACATCGATGCACTTGCAGCTTCACATTATCTTGACATTGTATAATTGTATCGTAGAAAAGACCGTTACGCAGCACACTAAATAGGTCACCTTCTAAATCATTTAATGCATAGAGACTTTTTTCATTATCCATTTGAATATCTTTCGCATTTGGTATGCCACTCTGATCGTATAGAATCGTTGATGGTGGTTGATGGTATAGTGAACCGGTTAATGAATAAGAATCATCAGCGCTTTCGCCCATCGAACTAGCCTTTCGGCCGTGTTTCAAATGATGTCGATTGTGCGCATTTTGACTTTCGGATATTGATCTATAGGTACTCTGCTCATTTTCACCAAAATTTTGCACTCGTAAATGATAATAGATCCGTTCACGTCGGCAATAGTAGCGTAAAACATATGTTCCACTGTTACAAAACGGACATAACGCTCGGAAACGAACGCGACCAGTTGTAATTTTGCCTTGTTGTCTCTGATAGTGAGTAAGAATTTCAGACGCGTGTTTACTACTTTGCAACGATTTCATATGAATTCCATTGCTCGCATTGTTGCTTGAACTAGGCTCAGTTAGCGATTCATCACTGATTTGATGTGGAATCAGTGAACGACATCGATCGCAATGGATAGATTCAAACAGAAGGTATCCATGGCATCCACAGACGGTTTGCAGGGATAAATACATCGTTCGATACTTTGAAAAGTTTTCGGAATCTTTTCGTCTTCGAAAGAAGTGCTTTGTGAATGAAGAAAAAATCAATTCTAACTTTCATTTCTTTTCTACATAGATTTCGAATACAAAAATGCCTTTTAAGGCCTCTTTTCTGTTTAAATTTCACTCGAATTATTGATTCGCCTATGAAGCAAAAAAAGAGCACGAAACCAAATTAATAAATAAATAGAATTCAGAGTTCTTTTCTCTTCGAATTTTGTAGGGTACACCAGTTTGGTTTGACTCGGGCGTAGGCTATCCAATAGCCGGCGACATTATCGACGCTACGCGCACTCGAATATCGGTCAAGTCACTCCTCAATGGAAAGACCTTTACTTTCCCAAATGATGAAACAAATCGTGTCACACCACGAATCCCATTACCATCCGAAGGTGTCAATGACATGATCACCATGAGTGATCTAAGCGAAGCGTCCATTCTTTGGAATATTAAAGTGCGATATGATCATCGACAATTCTATGTAAGAAAATCCGAGAAGAAAACATGAATCTTCATATTCTATTGACTGTTTTGTAGACATACATCGGCAGTATTCTTGTTGCTGTCAATCCATATCATATGTATCATGACATGTACTCGACGACCTATGTACGAAAATATGAAAATGCTCTCGTGATGAATTCATTGCCTGCGTATGTATTGAATACCGTTTGGTTTTGTTGTCTTGTGACAAATAACTTCGATTTTAGACATATTTTTGCAACAGCATCGTTGGCACATAATAAAATGTTGACAGATAAGATGAATCAGTGTGTTCTGATTAGGTATTTCATTTCCTTTTAGTCATATTAGTGATTGCAAGAGATTCTTTTTAATCTTAGCGGTGAAAGTGGCGGTGGAAAGACACAAAGTACAAAATTAATTATGAATTATTTAGCTACAGTAAGTCATTTGATTTGATTCGACAGTTAGCACGATTGTCTGTGTCGTTGTAGGTGAATCCGGGAAAGAATAAACTGATAACTGAACAAATTCTCGAAGCATCCCCACTCCTCGAATCGTTTGGCAATGCGAAAACCGTTCGAAATGATAATTCTTCACGATTTGGCAAATACATTGAAATCTATTATTCTCAGTAAGCACTTCATCACTGTATTCCCAATGAACGTTTTAATTTTCTCAGGAAATCGATTGTTGGAGCAAAATTATCCGATTTTCTCTTGGAAAAAAGCCGTATTGTTACACATTCAACTGATGAACGTAATTATCATGTTTTCTATGAACTGCTCGAGGGTTTCGATAATGAAGAAAAACGTAAATACGGTTTAACGACCCCCGAGAAATATTTTTATCTCAATCAAGTAATATCACGATCCATCTGACTAATCTCCTCATTCGAGTTTTCTTTTCCTCAAGGGTGCTTCAATGGCAATATCAAGTAAATCTGATGCGAATGATTTTCAATCTTTATTAACTGCGATGAAGATTCTTAATTTCACAAAAAACGAACAAGAAACCATTTTCAAAATTCTCGCCGCCATTCTACACCTAGGAAATATCTATTTCTCTCGAAATATCGAAGATCCCAGTCACGATCTAATTCAAATAAGTTCAAAAACTGAAATTGAATGGTGTTCACATCTACTTGGTCTCAACGATCAAGGCCTTCTCCAAAATTTAACTCATAAAGTCACCGAAGCACGTGATGAACGCCTTCTCTCACCTTTTAATCTTGAACAAGCTTTAGATTCACGGTAATTCCTTTGAAAACTCATCGCATTGAATCGAAATCATTGTTTTGTATTTGAAGTGATGCAATTGCCAAAGCTTTATACTCAACATTATTCAGTTGGTTAGTTGCCCGTATCAATCAAATCGTTCGCGTGAACAATACTGTCGATAACAGTATTGCCATATTGGATATATTCGGTTTCGAGAACTTTTCAATCAATAGTTTTGAGCAATTGTGTATCAATTATGCAAACGAAGCGTTGCAATTTCATTTTAATCGACATGTTTTCAAATTAGAGCAAGTAGGTTGGAATTTGAGAAGTGAATTAGTTTGAATGAGATTGATTCGTTCAGGAAGAATATGCAAAGGAAAAATTAGCATGGAAGAAGATCGATTTTGCTGATAATACTGACTGTTTGGATTTGATTGGGAAAAAACCAAATGGTATTTTACAAATTCTCGATGACGAAAGCAATTTTCCCAAGGTAAGATAATCCAATCCGAGAATATAAACTTGAACGATTTCTACTTTAGGCTACGGATCATTCATTTTTACATAAATGTCATCGTCTTCATGAATCGAATCGTTTGTATGGAAAGCCACGTTTATTAAAAACAACGTTTAGTATTCGACACTATGCGGGTGAAGTTGAATACGACGTAAACACTTTTCCTAAAGTTATTCAAAATCAGTCATATGTTGATTTTTATGGAATAGGTTCGTGGATTTCTCGATAAAAATCGTGATTTACTACGTGGTGATGTTATTGATTTATTCTCTTCAAGTCGAAATGAAATTCTCGCGAATATGTTTCGCGATATTCGCGATGTTTACGAATCGCATCGCGGTTTTCATTTTAAAACAGGTCGTTTCATTACGATGAAAGCGAAAACGCCAACGGTGTCAGCGAAGTTTTCCGATAGTTTATCGCATCTAATCGAGACAATGACTCGTTGTCAGCCAACATTCATTCGTTGCATCAAACCAAATAATGATAAAACACCGAATAAGCTGGAATTATCTGTGGTATTGGAGCAACTACGGAATACAGGAATGTTGGAAACTGTTCGCATAAGAAAACTCGGTTTTCCCCGACGATATTCATTCGAACAATTTGCTACACGGTATGATGAACAAACTGATTTTAGTTTGTCAGAAGAAAATCTTGGTTTTTGTTAGATATCGTTGTCTGATACCGAACTCGCCTGGTAATATCGACGTAAAAGAAACGACCGTGCATATTCTCAATAACTTATCGGCAAAATTTACTTTAAAATACCAAATTGGGATAACAAAAGTATGAAAAACGTTTCGCTGCTGCTGACGATCTTCTCTATTTCTTTCAGATCTTCCTACGCGAATCATTAGAATATCATCTTGAAAAAGAACGTTCACTCGTGATAAACAAAGCAGCATCAACAATTCAACGTGCGATTAAAAGCTACATTCAACGGAAACAATTCGAAAAGCAACGTCGAGCCGTTGTTCTCTTACAAAAACAATATCGTCGTTGGCTTGATAATAAAAAGTAAGTCAAATTCAAATATTGACATCAATGAACGACAATAAACATAATTACAAATCGATGATAATCATTTAACAAAATGTCAGACGAGGATTACTTGATAGAAGACAATATAGAACATTGCTGTCTTTTGAACATCAGTTAAGCAATTGAATTAGATAATGAAGGCAATCAGTTCACCAGCGACAGGTCGTTTTCAGCGACGACCAAGTCTTGGTACGTCAATAGCCCGAGCGATGATATCTATGAGTCCAGATGTGACTTTCGAAACAACGAGTGAGAAATCAACGAGTCTTAGTATTCGACTATGTGAATCAGGTCAATCATCACTTTCCGTCACATCGTGTTTCTCTCCTTCGACAGCTATGAGTAATATTACAGAAAATAGTTCAACGGTAAATTCATCATCACAGTAAGATAATCGATCAATTTGAATGGAGAATGATGAATATGCTTCGATTTAGGCAAACAACAACTACAACATCACAAGATTATCAGGTAAGATTTAGTTGAAAATCAGCTGAAAAATACTTTATCATCTTTTGCAGTTCAATTTATTGGAAATACCCAATGAATTAGATTTAGTGTTTCGTCGTCTGGATGGTATTCCTTCACTCTTAATCATTCACACTCTCTCTATCGATGTTTGACGTCTGTTTAGCGTGGGAAGAACCACATAGTGACGAACATATTATTGAAACATCACGATCTACACATGTCATTCCAAGTGAACAACTTTCATTACCACCGAACAATACAGAAAAATCATCGTTTTTAAAATATATTCAGGAACATACTTATGTAAGTGATTTCGATTTCTTCATCAATACAATATTTCGTCAATGTTTGCAATAGCTTGGAAACAAATGGGATCGTTTGTTAACACCTATCGAAGTACCATTGACGAACAATATTTCCAATCAACAGCAAACTCAATTAGCACTGTCATTATTCAAATTAGTAAGGAAATATTGAGAACAGTTTCTTTACCAGGCAATACATTTAGATTCTACGTTTTGTCAACACATCAGAACACGAAGCAAAACGGGATCGTGCTCTGGGTGATTACATAGTTCAAATTGTACGTATCAGACGAAGTGTATATGGAATTGAATGAAACGATTGATTAATTAATATTTAGGGTTTAATGAATGAAATATTACGTGATGAGATCCTCATTCAGATATTAAATCAGATTTGGAATAATATGGACCTGATTCGATTGCATAAAGCTTGGTTGTTAATGTTAAATTGCATCAGCTGTTTTTCTCCATCATCGAAATTATATAAACATCTGTACCAGTAAGTGATCATTCTGAGATGTAGTTCGATTTTATTCTTTTCTTTTATAGATTTATTTTCGAAGAAAATCCAGCAAATAGTGATTTGGCGAAACGAAAATTATTGGCTGCTGGAGGCGCCGACGCGCCGAGGACGTATCCACCGACCCAGTTAGAATGGGCTGCTAACAAACGTTCATCACCGATGGCACTGCAGGCTGAATTCTCTGATCGTAAGCCGATTTGCTTTTGTTGTGCGATGTCTACAGCTAAGCATTTTTTCTTTAATAGATTTTGAAGCGATAGGAGAAGTTGAATCATGGATGACGGGCGAACAATATGCATACGAATTAGTATCCTCTCGTGGTATAATCAAAGATTATTGCTCGGGATGGACAGTTTCATTAGAAGAGGATGGAAATGAAATTGAATTAATGGGACATGATTATATTCTCGATTTAATCGGCGAGTTAGAGATTCCACCGTGTGCACCTGTTTGCAAATCGTTTTTTCTCATTCATGATGGCCGCGATCGATCATCGAAAACTCCACGACGACGAAATTATCGTACAACAGTCAGGTAAATTTTCCTCCTTATAAAAATCAACCAGAATCGACTCTCTATGAAAATCTACTTTTCACAATAACACAAAAACCATCGCCTCTCTGACATTTAATAGATCGAAAGAATGGTATTTAAAAGTCGATAACTCTCGTTCAAGTCGTTTGTCTAAAGCTAGTCGTCAGACTTCATCATCCAATCATTCATCGCCATACAAATATCCAAGACGTTTCAGTAGTGATGAACAACAACAATCAATCGAAAAAAAATATACTAAACGTCACTCACCTGTCTACCATGACGTACCGATGACTAGTAACAAATCGGATTTTTCGGAATCATCTTCCGAATTATCCGATGTTCATACATTGTTTCCACCGCCGCCAGCATCAGCGACAAAGGATCTATTAAAAACAGATGCAACTAGTGCCTACTCAATGACAGATGATCTCCCAGCCGAAATTCCTATTCGAAAAAGTGAATTGAATGTTCCTTCGCATCCTAAAACACCACCGTTGCCTCCTGTACGTTCATCGACAAGATCGAGTAGAGAACCAATAAAAAAAGATGAAAAATCGATTGAAAAGCGGAAACAATCTTCGACGAATAAAACGATACTAAAACCAACACCGCCTTTGCCCGTTATCGAACCAAGCGAATCAATTCGTAAAGCAAATACGTTCACATCGTCATCACATTCAATGATCGATGCAGGTTGTAGTGGACATATTCTGTCAAAAATACCTGCTCTACGTTGTTTTCGGCCAAATAAACAACATCATACACAAAAGTTTCATAAAACATCACCATTACCTCCGCCACCACTTGTAGTTAGGTAGAGATTGCAACTGTATCTATGATTTTTTTTCTACGCATGTGTATGAACAGATTTGCATGAGGTCCTTCTCGTTTGTTTGCATTGAGTATGAATAATCGTAGTGTGCAGATGTAGTCAGAATGTATACAAATGAAGTTTGTTTGAAATTTGTTTAGTGATTATAGTGGGCCGGAAAATGCGAATTCATTTTATGGAGAATTCTCTGTATGTTCAGATGCTCCAACAAATCTCAACCAATACGAAAAGATTGGTAAGAACTATTCAAACGCTCAGCAATGACGACAATGAGTATCGTTTAGGTTCGTCGATTCATCACACCGCAAAACTCGTATGTTAATTCAACATGTTTTTCGCGTTTTGTTTTCAATAAATACTTCTAGAATGGACATCCAGATGATTATCATCTGTCAAGCACATATTCAGACGGAGGAATTGTTGGTGATATGACTGAATATGAAGCAGAAGAGATTCCAATTAAGAAGAGCGCCTCACATTCAAAAGATATTTCACGACCGGGAACCAAGTATGCATTACAGCATCAAGTATTGATATAGGCTAGCGATTTGCTTTAGGTTTATCAAAAATAAAAACACAAAGCCCAAATCTGGTTATCCTCAAGCGAAAAAACAAGGCAATTCAATGTAAAGACTTGATAGTTTACATTCGTTCGATCATGTTGGGCCTATTTCGACTTTCAGATTTGATTCCGAATCAATCGCCACGATAACCGATCTTCCATTGCCGTGCCACAAATCTGACGTCGAAGCGTTTCTTGATGATCTATTCGAGCGTGCACTTGATCCAAAAAACCTTGCGAAGAAAAAAAACAAAACAGCATTATTATCAACAATAGATCAACGTCGCTTACAAATGATATCGAATAGTCGAATGGATCAATCAACACGTCGTCGTGGCCTGACGAATTTCCTCCACAAAACACAATCACATAAAAAATCATCCATTCGATCGGCTCCCCGTGCTATTAGTGCACAAGATCAAACTCATCACAAGAAAAAAAGCAAGATTGATAAAGATCTATCGGAAAGAAAGAAGCGTACAAAAAGCAAGAAGAAACGCTATGAAAACTCTAACATCAACAATAATAACAACAACAATGCATTGATGACAGAGCAGAGTTTTATGTCATTTACGAGTGAAAACTCCTTAATGTTACCTCAAATTGGGTATTCCAGTCGTGCCGACATGAGCGATACAAGCGAATATGCAAGATATGCTCGCGGACCGAAACATGACGTGTTCTATCGACAACCAAGTGGCACTCGTCGTTGTGACGTGATCTGCACTTATGATTCTGACGATGCCGATTGTTCATCTGTAAAAAAACCTTCTCATTTTGCGAATTCTTGTTGTCCCCAATCTATTGCATTTTAATTCGAAGAAAACCAAATAAGCTTTGTCTGAATCTCTTTCTCTCACTTTTTATTCTAGATGCACGTTCGGATGATTTTCTAATCTCTTCGCCCTGGAGTCGACAGATATCGGACAGAATTTTCTTCCATCACAGGATAAAAAGAATATCAAACTTATTCCAATTAATCCTGATGTTTGTTTCGCAACAACGACATCAACAATAAACAGCTCGAAGCAATCGATAACATCATCGTCACCGGCGAAATCAAATGGACCTGTGTTTGTACCAGTTATCGATATTAGTGGAAAGAAATACTTACCTGTCTACTTAAAACAATCCAACGAAACCGATAATTCAGCTAACCAACTTGATAAAATGCCATGTATGTTGAAGAACTTCTACGGAAAGTAGACAATGTTTACTGATTTAGTGCGTCTGAATAATACGATTTCACAATTGGTATCATCCAATCCAATTTTATCGTCGAAGAAAACACCAACAATTATAGAAGAAAACGAAATTGAACCAACGTCGATGCCTTCATCGCCTGTGCTATCAAAGCCGAACCTGTGTGTCGAACGTCTCTCGATCTCACAACTCGATACTCAATTCCAACAAGGATCGAAAGATTATCCAGTAACCAATAATCAGTAAGTCAATGAGAATTCTGATTAATATCACTATACTTCCATTTGTTTGTATTTAGTAAACATGCGATTAAAGTTCCATCACATATATTGACACGACGTTCTCCTGAATTTCAAAAAAATCTTCGTGCTAAAACAGTGCGTATCGGTAAAATTCGTTGGCCACCCCCACTCAATGCTGAAGAAATAGATAGTGCTAATCAACACAGGTGCAATTTATTTATCTTAAAAAGAACTATTTTCTATTTCGTTCATCTGTATTTAGACGACTGCTCGTTCAACGCCGTATTCAAGAAGAAATCCATGGCGCTAAACCTACTCCAAGCGAACCAGATCAAACAAATAATTTTAACAACATTAACCATGATCCTCCTCCCATACTTCCAGATCAACATCAACGTCCTCTAAGTAGTACGCATTATGTGAAGGGCGTTAATATAGAACAGAAAGTTCCGACTGACCGACGCGTACAATCCGACGAAAAACTCCTTTCTCCAAGTACCAACGATCCTCAGAAAAAGTCACCTGTTACGAAGACATTGCTGGACTTAATATCACCATTATCAGATGCTGTTAGTGATGATGATATGTCAACGAATGAAATTGTTGCTCGAAATCATTCATCAAGATTGGATTTTCATAAAACATTGACACCCATGTTCGTAGACGAGTCATGTTTGAAAAAGAAATGATTAATTACGGTGTGCGTTTTAGGATTGGAAAAGAAAATTTCGAACTGAGGAAAAAATTATTCGAACATCCGGATGAATCATCCCTGGCTGGTAAAGTCATCCTTCACAATTGATGTTTAAATGCCATCTTTATCTGAACTTATAGATACGATTACGATTCCAAATGATATCCCAAATACAAGTAAACATTCTTCGAGACAATTACAACATTTTCTCATGTATCATAACATAACATGGATATTAAAACTTCGCAAAGAGGTTAGTCGAAGTTTTTTGTCTGAAAAATGAAAAACCCGTTCTTTCCTAAAGGTTTTCTCCCCGGCAGAAACATTCGATCAACCAATTTTAATCGAATTATTGTATCTTCAAATCGTACGTGATACCTTTTCATCAATTTGCATCCGCATCAGTGAAGCTGAACGAACAAACATGAAAACTTACCTATGTAAATCATCTTCAAACTTGAAAAACATAATATTCTTTCTTCTGAATTTAGCTTCGCATGGTGTCGTAGTCGTTGGTGATATTGATTTAATCAATAAACTATCCGCAAAGAAATCCGTTATTGAACAAGCACGTCAATGGCCAACGTATTTCTGTCGATTCTTTCCTGTTTCCGTACGCGAATTTCATCGTTCTAACATATTTTCTATGTCTCTACCTTCTCTCTTAGATGCCGAAATATCACTCTGGTGAAGTACAAATGTTAGGGGTATCGCATTCAGGTGTGCGATTAATTAAACGAAATCGAAGTAAAACTGCCAGTGACACATTGCAAGTTCTTGAAACCTTTCTGCTCGATTCTATTCAACAAACATCTTCTATTCGAAACGGTTCTACTATTGATTTACGCTTGACGAAAAAACGTATTACCATTCATTCACATCGGGTATTCTCTGCTTAAATTTCATCTCATCAGCTATCTGCTTCTTTTCAGATTCAAATTATTAAGCAAATAATCGACAAATTTCTCAAAGAATCACGCCTTGGCCATGGCAAACATTCGCGAACATCCAACCACGTACGCCTTTTCGAAAGCATTCTGTACGAAAACTCATTTCTTTCATTCTTAGAAGAAAACTTCTCAGGAAAACTTCTCTCCAAACTTAATCTCGACTACGAGTGATCTTTTCAAATCTTCCAGTCAAGCAAGTTTGCTAAGTTGCAGTCAAACATTCAGTGAATTAATTCCATCAGCATCATTCGATGCTCACACACCAAAACCAACCAAAACTGATCTTGTTTCCCCAACAATATCAGCATTACCCAATGGACATTCCATGATGGAATTTGCTTTACAAAACTTCAAACTTCAAAATAAACGGTAATGTATCAGACACCGCCCAACTAACCATTTGACCTTCTTTTCCAATAGACGATCCAAGAAGAGTTGGAAAAATTCAGGTAAAAACCGTTATTAAACTTTTCCTTCTCGGATTTTGTATATTAGAATGGACTTGGCAAGAGTATAGTGAGTTACTCAAATGGTCAAAAGTAAGTTGAGAGGTTTTCTCGGTACATAGAGTAAATTATGATTTTAGAATCCCATACACTCACCACTACTTCAGCATTCATCGAATGATTGTATCCGCATTGCTCGACAATGTTTTCTTGGTAAAATCATTTGGAAAACTATCATCTCCGTAGATTACAATTGACTTTCTCTTAGCAATCATGCGTTTTATGGGCGATCATCCGATGTCACGTGGTCAAACTGATATCGATTGTTTATTGTACATACTCAAAGTATTGATCGCATATTTTTTCTCAATTTGTGAACGAGTGTTTCATTTATAGAGTATGCATAAGCATCGAACGTTAATCGATGAAATTCTTTGTCAGCTTATCAAACAATTAACTGAGAATAAAAGTACGAAAAATGATAGTGTTCAATATGGGTGGAAGTTATTGGTCATTATTCTTAATTATTTCACTCCAAGTCCACATTTAAGACCATACTTTGTTAAATACCTCAATGATAATATCAATCAAAACGAGAAATTGGGTATATAATCCTTCCGACAAATGTTGCCATGAGTGTTTTTTTTCTTTTCCGATTGATAGTACAACTATGTTTGAATCATTACGACCAAACCTTGAAATACGGTGGACGAAAAAATACACCCAGTAAAGCGGAAATCGATCTTCTAACAGCGGTAGACAAGAGTTTCGAGAAACATAAAAAGACTCGATGAATATTTTTAGAACGGTCGAAACGGAGGAAAACGTCAAACGTTTTTATTACCAGGCGGCAATCCATTAACCCTATTGACAACACCATCGATGGTAATAGATCGTTATGAAATCTAAGCCGTGCATTTTCGGTTTCGTTTAGGTAATTGATGATTGTCTAAATCTCATATGCGAACGATTCAACATCACCAATAGTTTAGAGCATGATGAATATTCCATTTTTATTATTAGTCCTTCAGGTAAATATGATTCGAGCAAAGAATTGTTCAATTTTAAATTTTGAACATATATAGATCAATCGTCACGTTTACTCAATCCTACGGAGTATTTGTTCGATGTTTTGAGTGAATGTGTTCGATCGAATATGGTTGATTATCATTTGATTATGAAACGTATGCTTTGGTATACCATTCCCATGACATTTGATGACAATAACAAATCGGAAATGTTCGTCGATTTTATGTATCATCAACTCATACCTGAATTACTTGAAGGTACAATAATTGTTATTAAAAATAATCATCTATCTGATGAATTAATGGTATGAACAATGAATTATTTATAAGGAATATATCCTTCTCTCGACTGTTGTAGCAATCAATTTCCTTAATGGCTGCTCTTCAATACCGTGCGTCGAATAAGATTGGTTTACCTTCAATGTACGTTTCAATGTGATTCAGTTTTCTGTAACCAGGATTTTGATGCTTTCAGGCGTGAAGTAAAACATCTTCTTCCAGCTACGGTGTTGAAATTAAAAAGTGTTCGTCCCCAAGTATGGACAACAACAGTACATGAAAAACTTTATTCATCAGTTGAAACTATGACAATAAATGAAGCTAAGATGAAGCTTTTAGGTATTTGATCTTTTCCTTTGGATATTTTCCGAGATCTATAAGATTCAATTTAGATATTATTCAAACATGGCCTCTATTTGGCATGACGTTTTTTGCTGTTCAGGTTGGTTATCCTGTTTCTTTGATCCGTTTTTCTTCATACTTATATGTGTTGTAGTCTGTGGATGATCCATCGATTCGTTCACCATGTTTAATTGGTATTTACAAAAATGGAATCTTATTTCTCGATATTGATACACGAGTAAATTTCGTCTCTTTCTTTTTTTTGTAAACAAAACCTTTCTCTTATCTCAGGAAACTCTGTTTTCAATCTCGTACAATGACGTTGTTTCTATTCGTCGTCATCAAAATTCAATCGATATTAAATATGGCAGCTTAAATCAACCTCGCATCCTTCAATGTCAAGTCGAAAGAGTAAGTTAGCATTCGATATAGAATCCACGAAAATCCTCTTCCCTTAGGCACAAGATCTCGTTGCATTAGCTGGACGTTATTTGAGTTTTGTCGGTCGAAGTTTATCAACTGCAATGGAAAGAAAAAGTGAAAATCAAACACATCTACATTCATCTATATCTGCATATCATGATCCAATTAGTACAATCTTGTAATATACATACATTTGTTTCGATTTGCGATATTATGTAAATTCATCTAGACAAGATTACAATAGAAGCCTAGAATATAAGAGGCAATAAGAATAAAGTCACAGTTATTCATTCACATCTATCAAATCTACACTTTTTTACCAGTCGTTTACATCCATACTAGATTTCTGTGTTTCTTGGAAAAACTTCTTCGTCAATTGATGATACAAGTGAAATATCATAATGATCAATAAAATAATTATTAATTCCTCGAATATTCTATTTATTTTCGTACAACTCTTTCAAATGATATCGTCATTCTATGTACAAATAGAAAACACAATCACTTTTTTCTCTCCCTGATAAAAATTTCTCGCGTTTTCAATTCAAGACACACAGCAAAATCAGGCAATATCTATGTGATAACAATCAAATAGATTCAATTGAGATAAAACAAAAATGGAACGCACACGCACGTAGTAGAGATTACTAAAAGAAGAAATGAGAGATAACTTTGACTCATCGCCGTTTGCCGCCTACACGAAGAAGTGATAAGAGAGTTTTAAACGACTTCTTTTTCACAGTTGTAGATGATGATGGAGTCGACGATGGATAACACGTTTCATTCGTAATCTCAGCTGTTGCTTCAATCATTGCTTGAGAAGTCTGAACGGGTAAAGTTTCAAATGCCGAGTTATTTGACATCGGCACGGTATTATTCACATGATAAACCTGTGGTAGACTTTCAGAGAACCGATCGGAGAGATGTAAAACAATCGAATTCTCGTCTTTTTCATTCGATTGTTGAGCAGATCGACAGGATAGATTATGGTTGAGCGTCCAGTGAACTTCACGACAATATTGACTGCAGTAGGACAGTTTTTGGCAATGTGGACAATATTGAAATTTGACTTGCTGAAAGAGAAAGAATACAAACGACTAGATCAATTGGAGAAAGTTAAATATTTACATCATTTTCTGTTATTTGACACAAGGAATTTGAACATTTGCGATATGATCGATTTTCATCCTGATCTTCATCGTCGTCAACATCATTGTCTAGATACATGTGCTGTTTCATATGCTCTTCTAACTGTTGTTGATCATGATAATGATGATAATGATGGTTTCGTCGTTTTTTCCGATGATATCGATCGAACATAACAGTCGCTACCTGGCTCAATGCATTGGATATGGCTGGATCACGAGATATGAATTCCGTTCGGGGACCATATTTGTGTTTCATGGCACTTAGCAATTCTCTGAAATGTTCGTTTTCACGATAAAATGCGCCAATCTCTTTTCGACATCGAACAACACTTAAAAATGTTAAAATTACATAACTAAGCGAATGGATAATTGAATGTTGTTCGGCGTAAATCAAATGATTCAATGCTATTCGTTTTTGATAATGACGATGCGTTCTCTGTTCATCGTCTAACACAGATTTATGTAATAATGTGCAACAGTAATTGACCAGACGAATTTGCGCTTCTAGAAACAATGAATCGTTATACAGCTGTGATTGTCTTCCCAAAACATACTTTCTGACCACATGTCAACATGTTCAGCACATTGTAACATAATGTGAAGACATTGAAGAGCGAGAGATTCGAATTTGATAAAATAAACGACATGTTCGAGATATTTGTATTCATTATTTTCAAAAAGATCAATGATAATATCGATAAATTGCATATCGATCAAATGTTGATACGCGCTCAACAGATTCTTTTCAACAATGACTTTGCATAGACGCAAGAGAACGGACAATGAAGGAATTTTCTCTTCGATCAAATGCCCATCACGAATGCCTTGTACTAATTGGATAAGAAATTCCGAATAACGATCGAGAATTAAGCGAGCGACTTCGGGCAACGTCGCAACATTACTTAATAAATCCAGACACTTTTGTTTGACACACCGAATACGTGGATCCTTACAGAAAAATGTCTTGTTCTATAAAGATCTGAAACAATCTAACTTACTTTGTACATGAGAAAAACAATGTCGATGGCACCCGATTTAACAATATCATTCACAACAAGTTGAAAGACGTGAAAAAAATCAATGGATTTATTGTTACCATTCGCTAAACAAAACAAACAAACGATGAAATCGATACATATCATCAAATGAATATTTACGAAATTTGTTAAATCCTGCTTCGCTAAATCGTTGAGCTGGTTGTCCCAATTGTAAATCTCGAAATGTATAGTTCGATTGTTCAGCTCGTGCTAACCCGAAAAGTAGCTGTGATAGATTAAACAATGCTTCAAGCTGTCGAGTAGCTATTAAAATAATACTACAATAATCAAGTCATTACGTTTAGTATGGAGACACATACCAATTTCTGTCAATGGAAGAATTGTTGGATTGTCTGCTTTAACATTCCATGGCGATATTGCTTTTGTCGATTTGACATTCTGTTCAGAGTGTAAAATACGATATTAAGATCATATGAGAAAGAAGATTATTACTCGAATCGTTAATGTATCAAGTAGTAAAGTACTGCTGAATGTATTCAGATCAGGATACGAATACCAACCATCAGCGAATTGAATGATGTCCATACATTCGATATCGTTAGTTGTCGCAGTCTCGTTACTATTATAATGATCAGGAAGTGTCGCATTTTGATCTAAACTTGTGAGTACAGATCGATTGGCTGTGATGCATCGCATGTTGGAATTATCGATCTGAATCTAAAAAGATAGTTTGTTGTATCAGACTGACTGATTTGTATGTGTGATGTTCGATTTCGTCGAATAAGAATACACACTTCGATTCAATTCGTTCGTCTTTTCCCTAGTAGACACGTAGAGGTCATCAGAAGATATACCCAAAAAATGTACACTTCGAAAGATGACGATAATGGAACATGATCAGTCTCTAAATTTATTTAGTTAGTATTCTTCAATAAACAATATAATTCCGGATGCATTCCATTCAATCTAGTATTAAGCAGGCTTAAAGTATTCTGTTTTTTTTTTTTGTTACACTTAGCCTTAGCTCCCGGGTTGCTATTATCGACAAAAGGAAAATGATCGATGCGTATTTCCTTCGTTTTTCTTTCTCGGCCGCATTAATTGTCGACACGTAAGTCGACTATAATCAACATTGATGATTTGTTCAACAATAGGAACAGATGAATAATACACACATAAAAAGAAACAAATGAAACAACTGCGCGACAGAAGTTTCTTTTTAATATTAGTTTTTCTTTGCTGAATTGAGTTGAGCAATAGCACTCTGAAACATTATTGCATGGCTATTGGGCATATGCCTGCTATCAGAGTATCAATACAAGCAGTGACTTCCTGGAACAAGATTGGCTTTTATTTGCATGAAAAAAAAAAGAAAGAGAAAACGAATCGCATCAATAGTGAGCCAATCGGTTTTAGCGTGTTTGATTCAAATTATTCGCGTACAATCATATATCATTTAGAGTAGAAATAATGTTTTGCATAGTAATAAAAGGAAAGGAGATAAGGAAGTGAGATGGAAAGCTCAGCATCAGTCAGCCAAGCCACTGCCAGTCGAAGGAGATGAAAGAAAAAAAAAATCTTCTTAATCTATTGTAGTAAAGTATGATTTTATACTATATTGATCGTGCTTCGTTCGATCAAGTTTCTCTTAAGATTTATATAAACGTTGTGTCGCAAGAGACAGATAGTGTTTTTTTCGGCTCAATTTTCCTCTTTGCTTTTCACATCTTCATGCAGCTCTTGTTACTTCTATTCAGATAAAATCTCTGTCGGTCTCGTGTTCTCGCTGTTCTTTCAATACTATCGTCGCATAATTGCCACCACTACTTGTACTAAAGGGAAAGACTGCCTGGTCTTACTTATTCCGTTGTTCTGTTACATGCGCTTGCACGTTCATATAGATCTCTTGTGGTTGTAGTGCTTCTGCGACGAGCATCATGAACACAGAGAGAAGCAGCGCTAAGAAGATAGTTATTGCTGCGTGTTATGGATGTGCGTGTAATAGTTGTTCATCGACAGCTCTTTCCTTCTTCGTCGCCTTCGTCTTTTAAGCGAACAACACGTTCCGGATAACAGGAGACGAAGAGAAGTATCAAGTAAAATTAACACTCTTCATTATTCATTCGTCCCTCTCTCTCTCCTTCTCTCTTCGTTTTTTTCTTTATGGAACATTTTCCACTGTCGTTCAGTATTATATAGATGTTTATGAATTATTTGTATGAAACGACCAATCTACAAGTCTTTATTGCTAGTCTAGTCTTTTCAAATACTTCTTCTGCCTTTAAGAGCAAATATACCCTTACAGTAATGAGACGAAAGATCACTTTCGAATATTTATTAGTGCATCTGTTTGATAAGAGACAGAAAAATATATATATTAGTGACCTGAGAATTCTATTCCGTGCGATTCATGCACACGTAAGTATACTCTCTCTCTCTCTCTCGCTCAATAAAAACCTATTTATTGTAGGAAGGTAATAAGTGTTAGCACGCAAATATCATAATTCGTAAACATCATTAGAACTGACGTCATTTGAGGTGTATGAAATCTTGTTGTTTTTCTTAACCGCGAGCGATGATGTATCTATTCTCCGAACCTGATCTTTTTTCTTTTCTAGTAAACGTTACGTGCATAAACTGCATATTGCGCTGTATTAAGATAATTCGTTTCCTGTCATCCAATGTATAAAGATTCCATTTCAACTTCTCCCCCGTGTGCTTGCATACATCATTCTATGAAATATAGTGTCTCAAAGGATTAGACTAAAGAGAAAGATGGAGAAAAGGACGAAGAATGAATTGTGAAGAAGAAATAGAGAGAGAGAGAGAGAGAGAGAGGGAAAGGGAAAAGTCAATCGACAAAGAAGACGAAAACTATCTTGCATACATAAAATTTCTTGTTTGTAAAGAAGCTAATAGAAAGTGAATGAAGCAAAAAAGACCATTTCATTCTCATCTTTTCTGACTGTCAAAATCACAATGACAGTATATAATATTTGACTTGAGAAGAAGACGATATAGATACATAACTGTATGTATTTCATTTATGTGTAACACTTCGTGAACCCTAGTTCCAAGAATAGGATGTCAGCGGATTTGTCGTCAAGCTTTATCTATTTCCTTTGACATATATTCATATACATGTATACTAATTGTGTGATTGCATTGGAACGTGTGTAATTCAGTTTGTCGATTATCTCTTTCTTGTCTTATGTATCCTACTCATCGTCAATCAGTGGAGATTTTTTGTTTTTTCCCTTGTAGAGAAATTATATAGAAATATAGAATGGCAGCTGCAGCCTCATCGGCTGGCGCTGCCATTTCATCGATGATAACATTGATGAGAAAGCAAAGTTTCCGCGGTGACTTTGTTCCATTAATGGATTACAATCAAGAAGACACTTCGGGTGGAAATCTCGAGTGGATGAACAAACCAGTTGTTACATATATTTATCGCTTAACTGGTCTGTTAAGTTTTATTTCAACCTGTATGAACACACCGAAAACATTCGAATATCATCCTTCACTTCGATATGTGACATTCGTTATCGATATCGTTTGTGTAATCATATTGACAATCGAAGCAGTTGCCAAAATGAAAGCACGAGGAATCATCGTCGGAGATTCCGCTTATCTTCGTGATCGATGGAATCATTTCGAAGCAATTATGGTTTTATGTATTTATTGTTCTATTACATTACAAGTACTATCGATCTTTGTTTTCATTTATTCTTTGTCCTAATCGAACTTTTCTGTTTGTAGACTTTAGAATTAATTGGTATTGTGAATAGATATACATATTATACAATTATTCGTGCACCACGTCCGTTTATTCTAATTAAAGTCTTAAAAACATATCTGAAATTTGAATTACCCAAGAGCCAGATTAAATCTATTCTCCAGTAAGAATGAAAGGCAAAAGCTAACTTTCCTATTGGATTCGCCTTTTTTTTCTCTTTTGTCTAGACGTTCGAGTTCTCAAATATACAATGTTACGATGTTTTTCCTATTCTTCATGAGTTTATACGGCATCTTAGGTGTTCAGTTTTTCGGTGCACTCACATTCCACTGTGTTCGAAATGGCACTGATTTGAAGTAATAATTACTAATCTCATTATTGACGGCATCCTTTTCTTTCTTCTCTTCTCTCAGTAATGTTACAAAGTATGACTTGATGATACCAGACACTTATTGTTCACCGACACGTGATGGATTTCAATGTCCGGAAAATTTTCTTTGTAAAAAGATCGATCTTTCTCGTCATCAACGTGGCTACAATGGTTTCGATGAGATAGCGACAAGTATTTTTTCTGTCTATGAATCATCGAGTCAGGAAGGTTGGGTATTTTTGATGTACCGTGCAATTGACAGTCTTCCATCATGGCGTGCTTTCTTTTATTTTATCACATTAATCTTTTTTCTTGCTTGGTTGGTCAGAGTAAGGATTTATTTCTTTTTTTAGCGGAAAGAAAGCTTGATTTATGTAATTTAGAATGTGTTTATTGCCGTTATTATCGAGACGTTCGCTGAAATTCGTGTTCAATTCCAACAAATGTGGGGTGCACGTGCAGCACCATCTGATATTGCGGCAACGAAAGTATACAACCATCTATGTTCCTCTTCATTCTGTAGATTGCAACTTTCATATTTCTTAGGTGCTTCAAAAAACAGAGGATAGTACTTTAAAATTAGTGAGTATCGATGAGAACAAGAAGAAAGGTTTTGCACCGGCATTTTGTACGAAAATGGTTCAATCACCGATATTCACGACTGTAGTGATGGTTGTTGTTCTTGCTAATACGTTCTTTACTGCAAGTATTAGGCATACGCATAATGAAGCGATCGATCGACGAAATCGCGAGATCTATTATCAGATTGAAGTAAGAATGAAGGTCATTTTGAAACAAAACTAAATTTGCTAGTTCTCTAGATTCTATTCACATTGTTCTTCGATTTGGAAGCACTTTTCAAAATATTCTCACTTGGCTTTAAAAATTACATTGAACGATCGATATTTAAATTTGAGTTCATGCTCGCCGTGGGAACAACTCTGCATTGTCTACCGCCATTCTATCGAAGTGCATTTACATCCTTTCAAGTCCTTCGTGTTGCTCGACTACTTAAATCAAGTCCACTGCTCGAAGACTTTTTAAATAAAGTAAAATTCTCACTTTCTGAAATGACTTGGCTTCATATTTTTGAAAACTTTCATAGATCTTCGGACCAGGGAAGAAATTGGGCAGTTTAATTTTGTTCACCATGTGTTTACTCTTGATAACTTCATCGATTAGTATGCAATTATTTTGTTTTCTTCAAAATCTCAAACAATTCGAAACATTTCCTCGAGTAAGTCTATGATTTACGCGAGAATAGACAGTTGATGACTTTTCTAGGCATTAATAGCAATGTTTCAAGTTTTAACACAAAAAGGATGGGTTGATGTGATGCACTTCACAATGTTATATAGCATACAAGATGTTGCACCATTTGTTGCTATATATTTTATTGTTTACCATCTTGCAATTAATCTGGTACGATCATCGTTGTGTGTAGATGTATTGATGAAATGTTGTTACGTCTATATGAGGAGAAAATAGAAGAACGTTGGTTTCTTTGTTGTGAATAGATTGTTTTGTCACTTTTCGTGGCCGTTATTTTGGACAATCTTGAATTGGAAGAAGATGTCAAAATGGTGAAACAGGTAGGTTTTCGATCTTTCGAAGAGCTTTTCGATCGTGATGAATTTCTAGCTGAAAACACGCGAAGCAAGTGCGGAAACTCAACAAAAACTACCATGGCGTCTTCGTATCTTCGAACGTTTTCCTGATCATCCACAGATGATTGAACTTTCACGTTTACCACATGAATTTATCATTCCGAAAATTCGTGACAGTTTCATGCGTCAATTTCTTGACCAAGATGATATCTATTCACTTCCATTGGAACTTTCGATGAACATGTACAGCCGAAAACATGTTGTCAAAACGTTACATCTACCTGAACATCGACCAACCGGTGAAAGTATGAAACGAATTGCAGTCTCCAATATCATCCGGTAAGGTCTTCAGTACGGGAATGAAGAAAAACGACATTTTCGTTTAGAAACGTAAATGGTCAACGCTTATTGAGTGGAGATGCGAGTCAAGTGCATTTAGCGGGTATTATTGATAATAAATTATCGACATATGTTCAACAAAATAAAATACGGCTAGATCGAAAGTATGTGCGAATCATCATGAGTTTTTCTTTTGAAAATATTCGGTTGAACTAGAAATTCTATACGACGATCAGGATTCCGGCCTAAGCCTGTTCATGCTGTACGTGAAAATGGTGATATAAGTGCATTGCAAGGTCGAATGCAAGATGATTACGATATCAAAGTTTTTCAATATCGACAACAACAGGCAGAATTGAAACGGTATAAGTGAATAAGTATAAAAAATCGATAAAATCTAGGTCGCTTTGCCTGATTTAGAAATCAACAAGAAGAAGATCTTCGCGAGAATCATCCGTTCTTCGATACGCCTCTGTTTGCTATCTCTCGCGAAAGTAATTTTCGAAAATTTTGTCAGCTGGTCGTCGAAGCTCGTTATGATAGTAATGCCAAAGATCGTCTCGGTCAAGAGTCGAAAATCAGTCGCTATAAACAAGGACAGTACGTGCACTTTCAATCGGCTTTGATTCCAAAAACAACTTTTCTGTCTTCTAGTAAATTTCTTGATCTCGTCACCTATCTCGATTGGCTGATGATCATTGTGACTATCATCTCATCTGTTAGCATGTCATTTGAAACACCGTTTAATCGAATTGTTGATCATCCATTCTTACAAGTATTGTGTTTCTCTTCGTCAATCTTCAGATTTGATTGATGTTGTTTACTTTAGATAGCGGAATATATCTTCGTCATCTGTATGAGTGTTGAATTAACATTAAAAATCTTCGCACACGGGCTATTCTTTACACCGAAAGCGTTATGTCGCGATGTCACTGGTACTATTGAAGTGGCAATCTTTTTTGTCAGTTTGATCTTTCTCTGTTGGTTACCACGACATGTTCCAGCAAATAGTTTTTCTCAGATGCTAATGCTTCTTCGATCGGCAAGACCTTTGAGAATTATTATTCTCGTACCAGATATGAGAAAAGTTGTTTATGAAGTTTGCCGAGGATTTAAAGAAATTCTACTGGTATAAAATGTTTTTCTTCTGAATAATCAATCGAGTGCTTGTGTGTAGGTTTCAATTCTTCTCGTTATGTTAATCTTCATATTCGCTATCTACGGTATTCAAACAATCGGTGGTCAATTGGCACGCTGTAATGATCGAACATATTATAAAGAACAAGTATTAGAATAGAATGAGGTAATCGAAAATGTGTCGTTGTGTGCATTCATTGTAGAAATTATGTCATGGAACATTCTGGAGAGAACTTTTCGTATCGAAAATGAATGTTAGTGGAGCTGATCCACTTATGCTAGTACCAAGAGTTTGGTATGTTATTTCGAAGATGAATGTTTGTTGTTGATCACGCGTTTTCTCTAGGGCTAATCCACATAATTTTGATTTCGATTATATTGGTAGTGCTATGTTAGCCTTATTCGAAGTTTTGTCATTGGAAGGGTGGCTAGAAATTCGAGATATTATTATGGATCGTATGGGACCTGTGAGTATTTGATATGAGTTTAGATCTCAGTTGAAGCAAAAGAAAATCTTATTCTAGCAACATACTATTTTTGTGCATATTTTTGTATTCATTGGCACACTTATTGGCTTAACATTATTCGTGGGTGTCGTCATTGCAAATTATTCTGAAAACAAGGTATTTTCATTATTCACACTAGTCTTCTCGTAATTTTGTAATTCCCATAATTGTTTTTCAGGGTACAGCCCTACTGACAGTTGATCAACGTCGTTGGTTAGATTTAAAGGGCCGTATAAAACTCGTTCAACCATTACGTACTCCTCCTCGGCCAGAGAATAGCAAATTTCGTTCTTATGTCTTTGATATCACTCAAAGTAAATTGTTCAAGAAGTCGTCTGCAGTCTTAGTTCTACTCAATTGCGCATTGCTCTATAAACCGTGGAAACCCAAAGAACGAATTACTCAAATCTCAGCATTCATATCCACTATATTTACATTTCTATTTTTGGTCGAAGCTGTTATGAAATGCATTGCATTAGGCATTGTTGGCTATTGGCAATCACGTCGAAATCGATTTGATTTGTTAGTAACAATATTAGGAATTGCTTGGATTGTACTGAATATTGTTTCAATAGGAAAAAATGATTTGGTAAGAAAAGGGAAGATAATCGTTCATATTTGTGTTTGGTTTCTATTTTTTAGCAAGAGTTTAGTAATACATTCGGATTTACTGTCATTATTCTTCGATTTTTCACAATTGCTGGTAAACATGTAAGCGTGAAAGAAGTTGAAAATACTTTTTGAAACAGAAATTCTTTTTTCAGGCTACACTAAAAATGCTGATGTTAACCATTATTGTCTCATTTTTCAAATCATTCTTTATTATCCTCGCCATGTTTCTCTTGATGTTGGTCTATGCATTCGCAGGTGTCATCCTATTCGGTTGTGTCAAATTCGGTCCTGAACTTGGCCGACATGCAAATTTTCGAACTGTACCCAACGCTATTGTTCTTCTCATGCGTATCGTAACCGGAGAAGATTGGAACAAGATTATGCATGATTGTATGGTTGTTCCGCCACGATGTACACGTGGTGCATCATTCTGGGAAAGTGATTGTGGAAATTCAACCGCCTCGATATTGTATTTCTGTTCATTCTACATCATCATTACTTACATTGTGCTGAATCTTCTTGTCGCCATTATCATGGAGAACTTTTCCTTGTTTTATTCGAACGAAGAAGATGCTTTGCTTAGCTATTCTGATATACGACACTTTCAAACTGTATGGAATATGATTGATACTGGGCGAAAAGGTGCTATACCAGCTCGACGAGTGAAATTCTTATTACGACTACTACGAGTGAGTGATACTGAACGCATTTGGATTTATTTGGATTAATGTCGTTTGTTTTTCAGGGAAGATTAGAAGTTGACGCCGAGAAGTTGTATCGACACATGTGTTATGAGATCGAAAAATTGAATAACGGAAGTGACGTGACATTTCACGATGTACTCAAGTGAGTAGAAGTTCTTCCGTTTAACATTTCTTGCTCATATAGCTTTCTTTTTTCTAGTATGTTAGCTTACCGTTCGGTTGATATCCGTAAATCATTACAATTTGAGGAGTTATTAGCACGTGAAGAATTGGAATATTTCATCGAAGAAGAAGTTGCGAAAATAACCATTCGAAATTGGCTTAATCGGTGTTTGAAACGCATAAAAACCAAAGATCAAACTACTGTCATCAAGAATCTACAACGCAGCAATGAATTAGCATTTTTCCGCGAAGCACAGGCAGTCACAACGACGGATTTGTTGAAAAAGACTTCAACCACAGGTAGTCAAGGTAGTGACGAAGCACGATACAAAAACTCCGAAGATCGGCCACAGCCATTACAAAAGGAATTATCGAAAAGAAAGCTTGACCGAACAACAACTTTGCCAACGCCATCCATCGACACTAATGTACGAAATTCTCTTTTTTTCTAGAAGGTACAAGTTGCATCTGCTTTCTCTCTCTTAGAATTCCAATTATCGGACACATTCAAGTACACGTGACATTCCAAGTGAAATGAAAGGCCCAAAACGACATGGCCAGCAACCGTTACATCAAAACATTAGTTTAACTCTAAGCAGTGATGAGTCGTATCCATGGCGTTCTTGGCAAGCAGGTCATTTCAGCGATGGACGAAAAGATATCGAAACATGGTGGACTAGCCAATTCCAACAATCAACTAAATAAAAACTAGCGTAGGGCAATAATTTTAGCAATTGAATGTTTTCCATCGTAAATACCGATAAGTCTATGTATATTTATTGTTTCAAATTCGAATCTCTTCTCCATGCACTTATTTTTGTTAAAATAAAAAGCAAGAGTATCTGTACAAAACAATTACTAGTTACTACAAAGCACAATGTCAAATGACAATTACCATGCGGAAGATTATTGGGTATAACGGAAATTTAATTTTAGTACATCTATTCCTTATCATTAACCAAAGCAAAGCATTTATACCGGATATTCGCATCAACGGTTTGAAGTGACAAATTGCAGTTCTCAGAAAGTTTTGTCGTTTAAATAATAACGCACGATCTATAAATTGAATTGTTACACTTATAGTCTTCATCGACAAAGAATAGTGGAAGATACCGCCCTCTATAAACACATGTTTGAGATATCATCACATGCAATGAATTGCTGAAAACGAATCAAAAGCATGTCAATTCCTATTGTTTATTTATTCTTATTAATTCGTCATTTCTCCTTTTTCTATCATCTACTTTACCCGATTCTTCTGTTTACGATAACGAGAACGTCAGACAATATAGAAGATCTCAGATGATTCTGTCTCACATTCTGGAAACATGCCACATCTGATGTTACAGAGCTTTAGAGTATTTTGGTGTGGGGTACTCTTCTAACGATGCTTAAACATTTTTAGATTTAATACAATGTCCGCCGAACAAAAAACCTCAGTATCTGTTGCATCGAATGGCGAACAATCAAATGAAGGAAAAGAGGAACCTGAAACGCCCACAGAGATGATTGTGATCGATCCTGATGCAACGCTTGTTGAACTAACAGCTTGTCGTCTTCGCGCTATCGAAGGACTTGATGATTTAACGAAAGTTGAAAATTTAAACATGCGTCAGAATTTAATCGAGAAAATCGAAAACATTGGACAATTAACAACGTTGAAGCAAATCGATTTATACGATAACCATATTACGCATGTTGAAGGCTTAGAATCTTTAGTTCAATTGAAACATGTTGATCTGTCATTCAGTAAGATTGTTTGCCTTTGATTTTCGAACATTCTTTTTGGTTTTTCTTTCATAGATAAGATTTCTAAAATCGAGAATTTATCAACCTTAGTGAATATCGAAGCCTTGTACATGGTTCATAATCAAATACGAACAGTAGAGAACCTCTCTGCATTGGTCAACTTACGTGTCTTAGAATTAGGTGATAATCGAATCAAAGTACGTATTGATGCAAATGCTAACGAGATTGATTTGATGTATTGGTGTTCTTTTAGAAAATTGAAAATTTAGAAACACTTGTTCAACTTGAAGAGCTTCATCTAGGCAAGAATAAGATCGAAAAAATCGAAAATCTACAAACATTAACACGTTTACGCATACTCGGCCTGGGTGCGAATCGCATCTCAAAAATCGAAGGTCTAGACGCGTTAACTCAATTAAAAGAACTGTACTTATCAGAAAATCGCATAAAAACCATCGAAAATCTTAGTGCCAATCTCCAATTAGTCGTTCTCGATGTTTCCAAGAACCAAATCGAACATTTGGATAATCTTCAATCCTTAACGAACCTTTCGGAATTATGGTTTAATGATAACCAAATAAAGACCATTGATGAGCTAGACAAACTCGTTCCAATGGAGAAATTACAATGCATTTATGTTCATGACAATCCCGCTTTCGATCGCGAGGATAACTATCGAGCTAAAGTTTTATTGCAGTTGAAACAATTAATACAATTGAATGCGACGGAAACGCGACGAGCTGCACCTGTGACATTGAATTGATTCGTTCGAACTTTCCGGTTTCCTTTTTTTCTCTGTCTTCAGTGTTTGTTGTGTGAATCTCTATCAACGTTGCAAACGTTTGTTCAAGCAACAAATCAAAATAAACTTTTCTTCTTTCTTTTTCTCTCTTTATATAACTTCTCATGAACAATTCGTCAGGAGTTTTCTTTGAATTTCCGTCAAAGTTATTCTCGATACACTTTTTACAACCCACTAATATCCAAATAAAAAAAAATTTATTCATATTTCACTCTCTCTCTCTTTTTCAGAATGATCTTTGTACGAATAAATCCTATCATCGACTTGACGTCGATGTGATTATTGAAAATGTTTGAAGTCATTCTTCCGATTGTCAATCTTCGTATCAAGAAAATTGTTTAGACTTGAAACTAAGAAATGACTTTGATCTTTTTTTGTTTTATATAAAAAGTCTCGTCTTTGCATTTGTTGTGAAATTCATCTTACAATGGATAATATGAAACGGTTTTTTAATCCTGGTGAACCAGAACAGGAACAGAACGCAATTATGTCTGAGGTAAGGCCAAATTTCATATTCTCGTATTAAAAAAACTAAATTTAAAAAAATAGATATCCGGATTGTCATGGGATACACGTATTAAAGCATTCGGTATCTGTCTACTTGTTGCTGTTCTACTTGGTATTGGTGTAAGTTACCAATGCTTTTCATAGAAAAGGCTTGGCTATGAGTATTAGCTTGTATTACTGTTTGAATATGTACTTTTGATCGTTTAGTCGGTGATTATCTATTTCCTCGGTGGCAATTTAACGGGCTTTGCTGTTCTCTATACCTTCGCTGTTATTGCTGGTGTCGCATCGTGAGTCAAGGATTCATATATTTACTAAAAGAGTTCTTTTGTATAATTAGTACAATATTTTTGATGGGTCCAATGAATCAATTAAAGAAAATGTTTGATCCCAGTAGATTAATCGCTACTCTTGTGTTTATTGTAAGTCTAACCTGTCTAAAGGGTTGTTAGAAACGTCTTCGTTTGCTTTTAGGGATCCGTTATAATGACACTTGTGTCAGCTCTTGCCGTAAGTCTGCTTCAGAGAAGAAAATTTCCACCAGATCGATCTATTTAGTTAAAAATCGGCGTTCTTGTTCTTATTTTTGTTATTATTCAATTTCTCGCCCTTGTAAGTATAATATGTCTATCTATACATATTGAAATATATAACACAGTCTGTCGATTTAAGGCTTGGTACACAATCAGTTACATTCCATTTGCACGGTAAGTGACTACTCAAGTCTTCGTATGTCCAACATTGATTTTTTGTTGTTGTAGAGAGGCGATCACCAGTTGCTGCCGCGGAGTGATGAGTGTTTAAAATGAAAGAACCGCTGTGAACATATGAAATTCGAGATTGATTATACTTTTACTTTGTTCTGTTAAATTAAACTCACTCAGACCAACCTTGTCTACTCTTAAAACATGATTTTTCTTATGATGATTGAAGATAAAAAATTATTATGTGAATTCTTTTTTGTAGAAAATGTTTACTTCCTGGAAGATTTTATGAGAAATAGTCGGAGTAGGTATGTCGTACACTGGAATCAAGAAAAGTCCGCTTGGAGCAATACCGTTTCTCAAAGTGAGTTCAAATAGAAGATTTGAATTTCAGAGAAGATATATTTTTGTGTTCGTCTTCTAGAAACGATTGCGACGAATCACAGCTTTAGGCCTTCGAAATTTAACAATTAATGATTTGAATTTTTCGTTATATTTTACGCTACATCGAACTGAGCAGAGCGTTGGTAAATAGAATGAATGTAATTATTAATAGCTATAACATTTTTCTAGCTTTCTACACAAGTGAAGCGGTGGAAAACCAACGCGTAAGGAATCAATGCAGATAATAACATAAACAACACCGTATTTCTTCTTCTACAGAGTCCGGAATGGTCTCATTTGGAATTTCCATTGAGTGTTCAATGTTTACAAGGTTGAATATTCTTTCCGTTTCCGTCGACATTATTTTCGTTTACCGATCTGCGTTTTTAGATTTTCTAATGCGAGTGTGGATTACATCATCAAATATCTGCCGTTTGTTTCTCGAATATGACGTTCATCTCGATGATTCGCTCGTTCCTGATGGGCAGGTAAGGTAAGGTCTAGTTTAATCATGACAATCTTTTCTCATTATTGTTTTGTTAGAAAGATGATTCGCCTGTTTGTAATAATAGCCTTTGGCTAGAAATGTTTGGATATCAATTCACGGATAATCCATCAACTGCGAGCCATCAAGCGTTTTTGCAACAGATCAGTAGAGATGCTTCACTGGCGGAAAAGAAAACCAAACGCAGTAATTTTGTAAAATCGTACAACAAATCGAGTATTTTACGGTTTGATTTTAACCTTATCGATTGATCTGTTGACATTCTCAGGTGATAATGTTTAGAATGATCAGTGCTATCGATGCAATAAGAAATGAAAAGCGATTAGCAAACGAATGTCTTCAACGTCTACAGACCTTAGCTGATGAAAATGAAGAATATCTATCAAGAGTAAGCAAATATTTAATTGACTGTCATCTAATTTCTTTGTCTACGTTCAGATCAAAGAACGGGAATCGCGTCGTTTACAAATTGAACACTTACTGCAATATATCTATTGCCAAACATCAATTAATGACCAGCAATCGACTATAAATCAACAACGACACAGAATAGTCAATGAAAGAAGTGAGTTCCTCTCGTAATTTCAATCTACATCTTCTCGCTCTCCTGATAGGAAATCAACTCGATCAAGATCTATTGCAATTACTTCATCAACAAAAAGAATTGAAAGCACGTATCAGCGAATTAAATCAATCTAAGTAAACAATGTGTTGACCAACTCTAGGAGGATCTTCTCTTTGAATTTTGTAGATATTTTCTGTATGATCTTATCAAATTAACTACATTTCGACAGAAGACGATTATCGATGAAATATACCATCAGATTTATCCGATTGTTAGCGACAAGAAAAACGAATATTCGATTGCAAATGTCCGGTTACCAACAGCACAAGATAAAATTTATCAAACAACACTAAGTTAGTTGATTGTTCTCCTCTATTTGAACTCATCGAAAAATCTATTTTAGCTCGTGAGCGTGAAAATGAAATCGGTGCAGCTGTTGGATATTGCGCACATTTTGTTCTTATCATTTCGCAGTTTCTTCAATTACCACTTCGATTTCCTATTGAATTCAACGGAGCAGCAACGATTAAAATCCATGATTATACATTACCATCAAGCGAGTAAGACTTTTCCATTTGTTTCCACACTGTTGATTTACATAGTGACGAAATGTTGACTTTGTAGCTTTCCGTTATATCCAAGTTACGATATGAATTCTTTTCAATATGGTTTCTTCTTATTGAATCGAGATATTGGTCAGGTTTGTCATCTCTGTTTGAAGAAAATTCCATGCGAACGAATCTTTGATTTTTCTTAGCTAATGTACCATTGTCGTGCTGGCGGTCGGAATACGGATTATCGAAAAACTTTAGTTAATCTGAAAGAATTATTGGAACAATATTTTACCAATAGAAAACGGAGTCAATCGTAAGTTGTCGGAAACGAATTGAATAGAGAGGAAAAGATGATCGCTTGTCTTTAGAGTACAAGTTTACACATTGAATCAATCAACAATTGAACCGATAATTTCAGACACCAGTATGAGTATCGATGAGCGAGTAGTGATGCGAAATAAAACAAATCTTAGCGAGAATTCTATTTTTTCGCCATCACGTTCCGCATCGTCGTCATTCCTTGAATCGAATGATTTGATTCACAATGAAGACAACAATCATCGCAATGATGTCAATTTATTTCCAAATTCTAGTGCCATATCACCTCGATTAATGATGCAGATATCCGTTCAACCTCAACAGCAATAAATCTAAGATTAAACAAACGACTTCTTGCTTTCAAGGTGATCTTCAATACGTTCCGTGTGAGCGAAACAGTGCTGTGATTTTTCTTTTCTTTTCTCGTGTCATTTATGTCTTAATCGAAAATTGCGACTTGACGAAGAAAAAACGATAGATGATAATATAATTCTTTCATATATTTGCGTGTGTATGTATTTGTTTAAGATTTTCTGAAGAGCAGATTTTTATTTAAATCAAATGAGTCTCGAACCGGGAAAACTTGACGTTAGCCAACGTCGACAAATTATGACGACCGTACAACAACAATTAGCGATTCAAATGGCCCAAGAACTTCTTCAAGTAATCGAACATTGCAAAACTTCGCTCTGTTGAAACTTTGTTTGCTGATCTTTAGAAATTGTCTGATAAATGTTTCAAAGCATGTGTTCCAAAGCCTGGTGGTACTCTTTCTAGTTCTGAACAAGTTTGTTCATCACTATTTCCTGATTTCCGAGAGTTTTTCGAATGATACTTTTCTAGAAATGTATCGGTCAATGTTCTGATCGTTACATGGAAGCGTGGAATATTGTCTCACGTGCGTATGGTGAACGGATCAAGCGTGAACAGCAACGACAATGACTTTAGCCGAACACTTTTCCATCTCCTATCCCCAGCTAATGTTTTTGTCTTTCGTTTATGTAGAAACATCAGCATCGAAGAAAAAAAGAAGACTTCTAGGTCAATATTTCGATCTATAAGCTGTTATTTCTTTTTCTAGATGGCATCTTCTTCTTCAACTGGAAACGGAAACAGTTATCCGAAACGATCTCGTCGTAGCGAGCCGAGTATAATCCAAATAAAAGAAGAAACCATCGAATTGGATAGTAATAGTAGTCCATTTCAATCTCCTTATGAACAATTACTTCAGCAAGAAACTGTTCCTGTACCTGTGGTTGTTCCGCCAAAGAAACCAAAAGAACAAAAATGTCGTTGGGATCGTTGTACGCATATAGGTGATATTAATGGATCTTTATTCGAACATCTTCTTGAACATGTGAACGCTCAAAAGAATAGTAAAAAAGAACAAATGTGTCTTTGGGTCGGATGTCGAGTGTATAAAGTCGCATCACGCAGTGTAAATTATCTGGAAAAACATATTCATAAACATACCAACGAGAAGCCATTCCGCTGTATGTTCGATAATTGTACGGAGCAATTCACCACACAATTCGCACTTGAACGACATGTTCAAACGCATTTGAGACAACAAGATGCATCGATGCTTTTCGATACAAGTGGAGACACATCAATGGTAGGTACAGGGGAGTACGATGTATCGAATGGAGATGAGAATCACCGAACTTACCTTCGTACTGGAAGTGCCAATGGATCGCATCAAAACTTACTTCTTCAGCAAATTCAACATCAATCAAATGAGAAGAAAACAAATCGAAAACGTCGAGCTAAAATCAACGGAGTACCGGTTGCTTATGGTAAAACAATCGTTCGATTCGGCTTTTCTTTGTTTACGAATTGTTTTTTAGCGGTGAATCGCGATTGTTTTACGGAGAGTGAAGTCTTTCATTTAACTCGCCTGTTTGATGCCTGTCCATATTTTTCGACAGATAAATCCGGTACAGTAGTTGTTCTACAACCCAAGGTATTTATCAAAAAAAAAGAAATAAACGAGTAGCAGCGATATCTCATTCGAAAATATATATTTTATTGAAGGTTACTATGAAACGACATATTGGTGATCGAACCGAACAATTCGTCGAATGGACACCTGAAGACATGTAAGCTCAAGAAAACCTTTTGTGATTAACCTCGTATATTCGTTGGTCGTAGTTGCCCAGGCGAATGGATCAAAAGTTCGGACGTTTATTTAAAGCCTAAACATATTCCAATTAGTGAACTAACTGCTAATCAATTGAATCGCTTGTTACCACCAATCTACTCATATCGTCCGCGGAAACAAAAACAGCGGAAACGTTCCATAATCTCAGCATTACAAAGCAAATAAACCCTCGCCCTTGTTCTTCTCTCGAATATACTCAAATTAACGGGCTGATATACAATTCATGCATACATATATGCATTTGGTCATTTCATTCTTTCAACTCTCATTATTGTATTGCCCTAAATTGTAGATTAGTCATTTGCTCCTCTCTTTTTGCTCAGAAGATAGAAAAAAAACTGTTTCATTTGTATATGTAAATTTGTAAAATAAACCTTATCATTGAGAAGATGAAAACAACGAATATTCATTGTCAGATACAGGGTACATAATAGCAGATAGAGAGAAAACATGTTTTTCCAATCGTCAGCCAATGGATCATGTGTTCTATGGCAGGTCTGGGCATAAAATTGCTTAGTGTTTAGTGATCTCAGAGATTCCCAAGGTATACGCGTTTGTAAACAAATGTTAAATATATAAATAAAAAAGCAGAACAGCTGTTTTTTCATATCGAACCATATTAATGGTTATGCATCTGTGATTTCTTCGGAGAATATCAATAGACGGTGATGTAAAAACACAATTAATGTTTTCGATCAATAATTTCTCTCTGACTTTCCAAAAATCACATGTCAAATGCGGATAAAACTGAGCTCAACACTACTTTCATATGGAAACAAGGCCGTTCTTCCTGGTATTTTAATCAAAACAACGTAAATGCCTAGATCACGTCGATCAGACATTCAAGAGAAAGCGCTATAAACTATTATATTTTCATAATGGTTATTTATCCCTGAGATGAAACATTTCTCTAGTCCATTCATAACGAAAAATTCCTCATGATAATATCTTAAACATTATTTTGTTCTTCCGATTGATTATCAAAAGAAGGACATACTATCCCCGATCAGATGATGGAATATAAACAGTCCAGAATGTCACTTTAGAAAATATCCATAATATATACATATCCATGTGACATTTCTTTCTCATTTGCTCTCTAAACATTCATCTAGTATTACAAATAAATAAAAGACTTTGTATTAGTCGAGATATGTTTTTCGATCAAGTAGGAAACGCTTTGAGAAAGAACGTCACTATTAATAGTCAGCATTCGACTAGACCACAATGTACTGTGAAATGAAAATATTCTCTTCACGCATGGTTCGTTAGTTTTCATACTTTCATCAGAAAGTGACAGTAAGTCTTTCATGAATAATCGCAGAAAATGCTACATAATCTGTTTTAAAAAGAAAAAAAGGATTTTATCTAAGTCACCATCGCGATACCATTTGTTTCCAAATTCAACATGTCTTCTTGCCGGTCGAATTCATTAACATATCATATCAAATTAGTTCTCTTGTAAGTATGACAACTGACATGATTATATAATAATCAGAAATCCGTGACATAATCAGTCAAAAGGCTATTCTACGCAGACCATAGATCGTCAAGGGTATTAGCGGTCCTCAGACTGACTAATCTCAACAATAATGGGCGTCTACCAATTCGCTGTGTCAAAAAGAATAGAATGATTTTCTTGATTTATGCTTTGCACAAATACATCAGATTTTTGTCGAAGAATGATCGATAGTTTTGATTTCGAGATTTGCCGGAAAACTCATTGGAAAACAGAACGAATTGAATTGAAACTGAACAAAACAATCCGTCGCTTAGAATTTACCACTGGTGTAAAACAAGACATATTTCATCAGTAAAGGTTTCACTGATAAAATAAAATACTTTACCGGATATTACTTGATTTAATGTCAAGACAATGCCATCGAGAAAAAACTCCTCCAGTCAATAAAATAACATCAACATATCTTCTATGCCATCGCTTTTCTCTTTCATTTACTTTCTCATCATAGAATACAATATTTGTCTTGTTTTAGAACGTTTTACAATGGAATGCTATTCGACACGCAGGCCACCGGTGAATTATCGTTCACTTTTATACAAACATTATTAAGTAGGTATGTTAAGTGTGCATAAGATTGCCTGACATTTGTCACACATACAGTCAAGTGGTAATTAAACGGTAGATAGCATTGCATTCAAACGTGACTTGACGAAACAGCAACCAGACAAATAATTAAATATGAATGAAGTATAGTTAGTCATATTATGTGTAGATAATTGATCGTGCATAATAGAATAATAAGTGGTTGTCAAGTGTACATAGCGAAGTTCATTGTAGTCGACATAGTTTGCAAATCGAGAAGAATAATTTGCGAGGAGAAGCGATATGAATTCATATTGAAACAGAAACGAGAGCTGATGTTTTCATGGCGGTAATTTTAACATAGTTTCATTAGGAAAATATACGATGGAAAAACGACAGAGACACAGCATCTTTTTCTCTGCGAATAATTTAATTCCCCGAAGTGATTTCCTTTTATGTATCAAACTCGTATTAACACATGCATGCAGTAAACCATTTTTTCTCTCGATTTTTCTCTCTCTTTCAACATCGACGATAGTCTGTTAGATCAGTTTGTTCCCTTCACAGTAACTAAAGAATATTGGATATTTGTTTTGACATACTATTCTACGACAGATGTAAGTAGAAATGACATGGCCAAATAAGTTCTTTTTATTTCTGAAGATAGTTATTAAGAGTGTCTTTATCGGTGCGAACGACAACAATTAGCTGTTCTAAAAACGAGAATAATCATAATAATAGCGAAAGCAACTGGTCATATATATGCACAGAGATTTCCTAAAGTAGTTCTCATGCATAGATCATGCTGTGCATTTCGTTAACATTTGCTTCGTACGATTCAGACGGAGGAATATATGTGCATAGAAAGACAGTAGGTTTCTTTCTTTTTATCAATTCTAATTAGATTGTGGTACGTGAAAGAACTTCGTTGATTCTATACAGCCACTAAGAGTTAAGCAAACATACAATCGTAGATAAACATTACAATCGACTACATGGTTTTTAGTCAAGTGATAGTCAGATCCAGATATAATCAAGTTTGATATTCTTACACTCACATCCGATTAACAAAGTATCATTAGTTTTCTTGCTTTCTAGATCGGTATTATTCACTTAGTTTGAAGCGATGGATTCTCTGTCAAGTGAATCAAAACGTTTCAGTTGTCGATTATTTCTGAAACATGTATTCTATGGGTTTATAACTGAATATGAAACACAGAAAATAGTCACAATTCATAGTTATACGATCACAGCTTTATTACGTTTCATTCAAATCATTCTTCTATTATATTCGTTTGGCTACTTACTCATCTATAAGAAAGGTTATCAATATCAAGATACCTCCATAATTTCATCTGTTACGTTGAAAGTCAAAGGTATTGGTTATGTGCACAAAGGTCCAAATGACTCGTACGTATTTGATGGAACAGGTCTGTATATTCTAGTCGAGTTAGAGATTATTAACCATGAGTTTTTTCTATCCATTTTCAAGATTATATTATACCACCGTCGGAAAATAATGCTATATTTATCATGACAAATTTCATTGCAACAGAACAAAGTCGATCCACATGTGTAGAAAGTCCAGCAGTTCCATTCGCCTTTTGTAAAAAAGATAGTGATTGTCAAAAGAAACCCGACAGATCGGATATGAATGGTCGATGGACTGGCCGATGCTCAGCAGCCTCAAAACTCAGCGGGAACGAAACAACGAACTCTACACAACGTTTATGTGAAATTCAAGGTAATTCAAACGCTGCTATCGCATGAACGTAGATCAAATTCCGATTATTGATCTTTTTGTTCCATGTTCATGAAAAATTATCCCTTGAGGGCACCAAACAGCTTGTATATATTTTGATTTCTTGTATAATGTCATAAGTCATGCATTGCATGGTATAATGAGAAGTTAATCGTGATTTAATATATGTAAACTAGTCGGGCGGCTCCATGGTCGTAAACGCTACGACCTGCGAACGAGACAAGATTCCGTCAGGAATTGCTTTGACTTTCGAATATAGTTGAAATATAAATAGTGTCACGTGTGAGTTTCATTTCAGGTTGGTGTCCTGTGGAAGATGATAGACAAAAACCAACTGTTATTCAAGATATTCCGAATTTTACGATATTTTTGAAAAACTTTATGGAATTTCCTACATTCAATGTAAAACACAAGAACATAGGTGAAAACCTGAAATCATGTGTGTACGACCCGTTGACTAATCCGAGCTGTCCGATATTCCGCCTGAGTTACATCTTAAATGAAGCAGAAAAAAATGCTACCGAACGAGAACTTATGTTACTTTACGGCGCAGTCATACGTGTGAAACTCGATTGGGATTGTAATTTAGATCGAAACATCAAATTGTGTAAACCGGTCTACTCGTTTGCACGTCTCGATACGCCATTTCATGAAGAAACATTTTCAGTAGGCTTTAATTTTCGTTTTGCATCGAATTGGAAATATAAAAACTCCTATCGACGTTCGTTACGAAAAGCTTACGGTCTTCGCTTCATTATTTCCGTTAGTGGAAAAGCTGGAAAATTTGATTTCATTACATTGACATTAAATACAGGTTCATTAGTTGGCATTTTTGGATTAGCTTCGTTTGTCTGCGATTACATTCTTCTCAATCTAAGTAAAAAAGCAGCAGTCTATAGAGAACAAGTCTTTCAACGCTTTCGTTCAAGACCAGCAAGTATGGATCAATCTGTGTTACAACTAAAACCTCGAAAGACTGACGTATCGACAATATTCCAAAATCCTTCTGTAACCGAACGAGAACTAACGCCAGTTTACCACTTGTCTGGATCTCCACAAAGGATTCATAATCTTGCCAATACATCGTTATCATCATCAGTCCTCGGTCAGCGAAATCGACTGCTAAGTTTTCAAGCAAATTTAGGTCTAACGAATCCAGTAAACTGAGACAAGGAAATCCAAATTGCTCGTTTTTTTCTTGTTTTCTTGAATCTGTAAATTTTTTAAAATAATCGTTTATGTGATAATGAATAGTTTAAATATATATATATTTCCCAGGGGGAGATTCGTATCAAATCAGATTGTTCTCGTCGACTTTATTCAGAAAAATATTGCGCAACGAATGCATTTCGTATTTTGACCCACTCTTCATCAGTCATACCGGCATAGACATCATAGAATTGATGTGCGAATAGTTTCTGTGTAGGTATATTGGATCGTCGCGTAATTGTCGGTGATGAATCTTCGAATGATGTGTACTCAGGAGATCGATCAAGACTTTCTGATTCCGGATCTTTTTCCTTGGTTTCTGATTGTATAGTCGATGACAGATCTATTGCTTGTTTTTGAGAATCTTACATAAATGAATGACAGTAGATTTAGATGAAAGTTTTTACCTTGTCTTACTTTTCTTTTTGCCTAATCGTGCTTGTTGAGCAGCTAGCAGTTCTTGTCTTTTCTTTCGTTGACTTTCTAATTGTACGAGTCGAGCTTCTCGCTGCTGATTCGATTTTTCTAATGCTTGTTCAGCTTCTGTACCCTGCTGTTTGAGAGCGATCTTTTCTTCTCGCTCACGGATCATCGATTTTTCGTTTCGTTTCTTCCATTTGAATTTGATGATCGTTCGCCGACTTTGCACTTGATTGAAAATTTCTGCAAACGTTTCCGCTGTTTGCCCAAATGCATCTCTTATATCAAGCCGAGCACCATGATCTAAAAGTGCTTCCATTTCCCGCAGTGAAGCACGAGCAACTGCGACCATTAATGGAGTACGTCCTGCTGCCGTCTGATAATTAATACCAACATCTAGTCAAAAATAGGTAAACAAGATAAATCTTCTGCTCAAATGCTGTGTTACATACTATTTTCGCATAATCGACGTACTATATCAATCCGTTTACGATGTGCAGCTGTAAACAAGGCAATACTACCTCGCTCTCGAATATATGCTTCTCTATCTCCACGAGAGAGATTATCTGCAATTGCGGATGAAAATGGAACATTGGGCAAAACACCGAGTTGAAAAAGCTAAATGAGAGAATATCACAATGTTCAAGAAAATTCACAAATCAATTACTTTTGCTTCATCGTTAGCTACAACAGCTTGCACAATTGGCTCGTAGATAAACCATACATCAAGTACAAATGTACAATTTGGTACGGGATCGTAATATTTCAGTTTTTGTCCATCGAGTAAATTACTTTCATCTAAATAGTATAGCCACTGGAGATGTGCAGGTATTCCACATATAATTTCAAGAATAATTTTCAATTCTCGAACTTTTGTGTTGAAACTAATTGTTCTTAATGTGAACCGTTCACCTGTTGACCGTAAAAAAATATTAATCATTCGTTCAAGAGCAACGACGACAAGAATAAATAAAATGAATCGACATTACTATTGCACACTGTTTGCTTGTCACGATGGAAGCAAGTTGTCGAAGAAGGAAAGTGACACTGCAATAGAGAGGGCACTGGCAATCATCAAGAAATTCTATTGGTTTGAAAGGCTGATTTTCATTTCGATCAATTCTAACATTTTAGAAACGAATCATTCATTTTTCTTGAAAATCTCCTATATCTGTATCAGAATTTACTCTAAACGAATTCAGAATATGGAAGTTTCATTAGATCTTCAATGAATTTGGATAAAATTTTGAACTAAATCTTGTATTTCATGTTCAAACAAATGTGAAAGATTCCGAATCATAGTGTAACGTTCATGTCACCCTCAATCTCACGCAGTTCAACGAACTGACTAAATGCATTTCTTTCTCTTTCATGACTAAACAGATAAAAAACATTCGAATAACTTCGAAACATGTTGTTCGCGTAATAAATATTAAAAATATATTCCGTTAGTAATCAGATTATATCACTTTATGCTCATTCGTTTAACCTTGAACACAAGTATGTCGAGTTAGAATAACTATGTTAACGTCGTCAGCATGGCCGAGTGGTCTAAGGCGCCAGACTCAAGCGTAATGCTTCCTCAGTGAGGTGGAGTGTTCTGGTCAGCGTATGCTGGCGTGGGTTCGACTCCCACTGCTGACACCATTTTTTTGCGCTTTCTTATACTTGTTTTTCTCTTACTTTTTCTACGCGTTCTGTTCCTTTCAAACAGAATCGAAAGAAAATCCAGCAAATACCATCGATTACATACTGGAATGGAATATAGTGAAAATACATTGGATGTGACATGTATACGGATCATGTTATCCTTCAAACTTCTCGAAGTTAAAAATAGTTTTCCTAAACATCCATATTAAATGACATCATTACTTTTTGCCTCTCCGATCTATACTCTGAATAATATTGTTAGAGATGAGAGATGACAGATTGTTGTGAGGTTAAAAGTATTGATCTGTGTATTATGATTAAAGAAAAGATTCGTTTCTTGATGTTCACGATATACAAAAACACATGAGTTTTCTTTTCATATCCATAAGTAAGAACAAGAACGAGAACAACACGTCATCCATAGGCTTTGTCTCTCTCGTTTGCACGATCGCGGTCTGATCTTTCTTTTTCTCTTTGCAAAAAATATTTGTACAAAAAGAAAACAAACAAAATGATTGAGAACAAAAAAAGACAGAAAAACTGAACAAAGTTAGGAGAGAAGAAGGAGAGAAAACCAAACAACAGACGACAGAAAACAAAACAAAAAAAAAACGAGAAAAAGAAAACAAACAGTACATATTGTTTGCAGTAACAATTCTAATAAACAAATGAGTCTAATTGTTTGTTTGAACGAATCAGTTATATTTGAAAAGTTCTTTTATATACTTGCCGTATTACATACAAATATATGTAAATCAACGAACAACACTCAAGAATAGTAAATAATAGCAGGCAGGACGGAAGAATAGAGAATGATGATGACCACAACAACAGGAACTGTCGGTGTTCGGTCGTTTCTGTGAATAAGGGCAAACGTGCATATATATATTTATAATAACTCTCTACAAAATGTACAATGTTTCTGAAGGAAAAGGACGACAAGTGTGACACCAAATAAAATATGGTTGAAGAGGAATACATGTGAATATATGTATAATAGAGAGAGAGAGCGAACATATAAAATCTAACTTAAAAGAAAGAATGCTCATCACTGCACAGAGAAAAAAAGCACAAGAACAACAGTTAAACGTGGTCGTTTCAATTCATCCATTTTCGACAATTAGTTGCACCACATAAACATGGAATTTTCGAATCTTCTTCGAAATCGAATTTGTAGTCATACATTATTTCTTCACCTTTAGCAATACGTCGATTGGTAATGATGATAATCTTGCTATCTTTTTCAATTTGTACCACTTCGGCGATGGAGTTCGGCTAAAACACAAGTCGGATGTCATTTTCGTTCAATTAATCAATGATTTCTTTACCTCGCATGAATGATTTATGTAACGAGCTAAACAGCCGCTCATTGTTGCATCGACAACGTATTCTTCATCTAGTCGAAACATGTAAATCCCACGATTTTGTTGTTCGTACAGTTTTTCTCTTTTATTAGCAACTTCATTACGGATTAATTCACCTATATACTCAATAACCATGGTATGTTTTTCCAGATCACGTCCGGCAAATAGACCCAAGCCCTAAGAAAAATCGAATCGTGCTGGAAATCGGATGATAATACTCAAAATTACCTGAATACGTGATTTAGCAAGAAAAACATTCTGACGCCATTCAGTTTTCAGTTTTCTATATTGAGTTGACTTCGATAGAACGAAATGTTTGACATAAGGAATTTGAGTCCCTACAAATCAAGATAAGCATCATGATAATTTCTTTTCTTTTTACTTCTCTTACCTTCAATGCCGAGTACAGTTCGTGGTAAAGCACTTCGAGTCGAATGTGAACTTGTCAATGTTTGTGCATGTCTAAATCAATAATAAATCATCATAAAAGACCGAAATTAATCAATATTCTTACCGTCGGAAATGAGTATTTAGTTTTGGTTCACTTCTGGCACACCCAGTCGGATTTAAAGTCAATGGCATATCTAATAATTGTAATCGGCCATACTTAAATGCATAGTTTTGTAACATTTCCACTCCGGGTAATGATTCAATCAGACGAATGATATGTGGCTCCTGGAAAAGATCAAATGCAAATCAGAATCATCCTGTAGTTTCACGCTTCAATAACGTACAGTTAGTCCATATAAGTCTTCTCCGCTGACGAATATTGAAAACATTTTAACTAGGCCATGCTGTCGTCTTAGAGCATCAATTTCATCGACAATTTTATGCCAAGCAGCTTTCGCGGTTGGTTCAAGAAATTCCTGTGCCGGTTCGTCGACATTTTCTTGGATACGTATTCGAAACATCGGTTTGTTATTGACATCAATTATAGAGCAATGATACGCACAACGGCGGTTTGGGCGACGCATTGACCAATAGAATCGTGTAACATTATAGCCGACCTGAAAAAGAAATTCAGTTTTGATATAGATTATGTGCTTGGAGGAGAGAGCAGATAGAATTTACTGGATAAATAAAATTTCGATTATGAAATACGGCGGATTGTAATTGATGAGGTAATAACTGACCAACGTTGTGGAGAACAAGACCTCCGATACGGAGTGTATAAGAAGTTTCTTCATGTTCTTCTGTCATATACCTACAGAGAAAGATATGGTACTGATATTGATTCGAGAAGAATAACTTACGTTTGAATTTGTTTGACTTCATCACGATTGATCCAGACTTTACGAATAACTGATTTATCCTCGAGTATCTGATCAGTCGCAGTTGTTCGTGAAGCATGAACTGGACACATGATTGTCTACAAAATAGAATGCATAATCGATCGACAGAAACGAACTTCTTTAATAAATTTACTTTATTCTTGTGAAATACACAACCAGAATCCACAGCACATGGAAAATGATATGCATTCGGACAACGTGGAGAAAAACATGTTAAACTGGCACCTTTTTGTTTACATGATGCGCATTCGATATTTATCGAACGTTTATATGCTTGTTCAACACACATCAATGCACCACTGACTGTTTCATAGACTTCTGTTGACCATAAAGCACAATTCAAATGACACCATCGACCAACATCAAGATTGAGTAATCTATACACGAATATCAGTTTAAATGTTCAAATGGAGATTTCGAAAAATGTACCTTCCCGGTCCATTGGTAGTCATATCACCAACACCATGGCAAAAAGCACATACTCGTTTGTCTTGTTGAGCATTTCGTGGTAGCGGTATCTTCATTTCCGAAATTAATTGCTCAATTTCAACGTTGTTCGACGGTCGGATAACCGTTTTCAGTGTAATACTTGGATCCCATCGTTTCCATCGGATATCTTTCCATCGCTTATCACCATTTGACTACAAATGAAAACATTCGATTTTCATGCCTATGATTCACAATCGATCTCTTACTTTATTCAGACATTCATGTCGTCGTTTCAACGATAAACGTCGTGGTCGTCCGTTCGGTGAACCATTCAATTCATTCGGTGTACATGGTGGTGATGTTGTATCCATAGATTCAGTTTTAATCGTCGGCGAATTATTGATTGAAGTATTGACGGTTAAAGCTTGCTGTTGGCTATGTGTATTTGATAAACAAGTATTGAAACATTGTTCGTTACAAAAATAAATAAACGGTTCGGAATTCGGCATCAATTCTCTGGCAGCCGATGGTAATTCAGTTAGACGTTTTTTCAATAAATTATCGGAGGCTAAACGTTGTGTACAGTTACGGCAATGTTTCGGCTGCATTTCTATCAGGGATTGAATACTGACACTTGTTTCTCGGCCGGTTTTGTATGTCGATGCGCCACGGCTAATAGTCGGTAATTGAGACGTGCCTGATGAAGGGAAGGAGAGAAAATGATTTGTATGATTATTTTGAAGCGGTGTTGAACAGGAACAGTTTTGATCAAATGCAGAAGAATATTGAGCATTCGAATTATTGTTTAACGTTTGACGAACGTCAAATGTTGATGGATAAGCGATTTTAAGTAGGTCAGCAACAGCAGCAATGACACTTTGAACATTATTCGCGGCTTCAGTCGTTAATGTCAATGTTACTGATACCTATTTCGAAAAGGAAGAGAGAAAACTTAATATCACAAATAAACTTCATAGAACTGTATTACTTTATCCGTTCCTTCAACGAGTGGTCGATCTTTCTTTTCGAGTTCATTAGCATCTGCTGGTGGTACACTTGTAACCCTTTCATCATTCATTTCTTGTTTGATATCAACTGATGAATTTGCTGGTAGTGATAGTAATGGTTCACTGTTCTTTGTCGATGATACTTCATTGGATATGAAGACAGGACTTAAAGATCTATAGTCATTGTTTGATGATAATGTTTTGAGTAATTGATTGTTTTCCATTTCAATGTTATTCAAAATTGTATCATCCTCGGCTAACGTTGACGTAGATATAATACTTTCGTCGTCACGTATCTCATGATTTTCTTCTTTTGTTAATAGACCTGATAATTTATCGTTGGAATCCATCGCCAATGGTGGAGATGGCAATCGTGGAGGGTGGTCAAGAAGTGTCGAGCAGATACGGTAGCGTCGTTCGAGTGCTGATAAAGAATTGGCAGCTGAAAGAAAGAAAAATCGTTTCTATACGTCTAAGATGAACAACAATTGACTTACGAATTGTTGCTGAAACTGGTTTAGGTGGTGGTCGTCGTTGTGGTCGATAGTAATCATTAATAGTTTCAATAAATACATTGCCAAACTCGCCTTGATACTGATACTTTTTATCGGGTAAATCGATCGGTAGAGACAATGAAAGTTCACTACTAATATCAATCAATGGTTCAAGCGGTGTCAACATGGGTAAGTCGCGTAGTTGTTGTAATGAATGTTCAACAAATTTCTCTGTTTCTTCAGTTCCTTTTTCTAAATAGAGATAAATCGGATAATTTTTTTTGTTTTGAAAATCATCAGAAATCTATACAATAACGTACTTTTACGTTTACGTGATTTGGCTGGTACATCTTCATCGAATGATGCATTCATTTCATTAGGCTTCCGTTTTTTACGCGGTTTAGGAATTTTTGCAGTTGGAGCAGACTGTGGCGGAGGATTTGGATGTGATGGAGTATTGATTGGTGGATTATAGAGATGATGGTGATGATTATTCGCATAAGCGTGTGGTGCGTTATCATGAATTTGCATTTGAGAATTGTCATATGAATCATTATTATCAGTCGATATGCCATTGGACATTACATTGCCACTAGTCCGTGCTTTCAATGTAGCAATCTCTTCAGAGTTTGCTTGTGGATTGATTTGTAGTAAAGATTTGAGAATATTGTCATCTGTAGTGAGCATACCAGATGGTAGGTGTAGAACTTGCTGAGGCATCGGCTGCTGTTGATGTGGATGCTTAGATTGATTCAAAAGACTATCATTAATATGTGAATTCGTTTGTAGTGTAGCGATATGTTGTGGTGGTGGAGGTGGCTGTTGTTGTCGATAGAGACTATTATGGTCGTAAATAATCGGTTGCTGCTGTTGTTGCATAATTAATTGAGGAGGTGGTGGAGGTGCAGGCCCACGTGGTCCATAGGTATTCGGCGGCATCATGCGTGGTTTCATCATTTGATAATTAGGATGTGGTGGAGGTTGTTGTTGTTGTACTTGTTGAGATGTTTGTATCATTTGTGGATAGCGTAAGACAACAGCCGATGGACCAGTAGGTACTCCATTTGTTGGCATGCCAGGTCGAATAGGTTGTTGAGATATTTGTTGTTTAACTTTACCAACACCAGTTACAGTTGTGACTGGCGATGGAAGCATTGGACGAGCATTCACGTAGATTCCAGTTGGTGGATGATGACTCGCCGATGACAGCGGATGATGTGGCCCATGAGGTGAAATAATATGAGAATTATCTAGCTTATTTTGTACATTGATTTGTTGTGGGGAAATGAAGTTATTGTTCGTATTCGGTGGCTGAGATGACGGTTGATGCATAGGGTAGCCTAAGATGGTGGGTGTTATAGATGCTTGGTTCATATGATGCATATTAACACCTAGATTATTCGGTAATGGGGATGGAAGAGGAATCAACGATGTAATTGACGTTGAATTTGATGGAGATTGTGGAGTTTCATTCGTTCCTGGTTGAGATGGTTGTCTTGTCATGGGAACATTGATACCGTAATTATTCAATAGGTCTTGATTGAATCGAACATGGTGTGAACCAGGTTGAATCTGCTGTGGCTGTTGCGGCGGCATTGACTGCTGCTGCTGCTGCTGCTGTTGTTGTTGTTGTTGCAATTGAGGTGGTGGTTGTTGATGCACGATATTTCGTGCAGTTGGCATATTTGTCATTTGGCCATTGTTGGGTGCTTGTGGCGGACGACCCTGTTGTGAAGGATGTCGTTGTAGATTTCCCGCCATCGATGGTGATGGCATTGATACATCATCCGAAAGCTGGTGCGGCGCACCGGGAGTTGGAGTACGAGAAAGCGCACGTGGCGATTGAACGTTAGTAATATTGTGTTGTTTTGACGGTGACGGAGAATGTAGAAGATATTTGCCTGCACCCGATGGATCATTGGACGGATCTTCGATATGTCGTACAGGATCATCAAATGGATTTTGAACAACGATTGTCATCGACTTCGAAGGATTATTCGAATTATCCATACTTGCTGCTCGTATCATTGGTGAATTGTATAATCGCGCATCGGTCGGTGTACGTGGTGCATTGACCATAGTAGCATTGTTTCCAATAGTTGTGACTGATCGCATATGTTGAGTCGCTGATCCATCTGTTGTATAAACATTATCTGTTTTGATATCGAGTTTGGTTGGCGGTGGCACTGATGATACTGAATCATTCATTGCCGATTCACATTCGACAAATCAATTTTTCATGTATCATTAAATAAAGACATATACAAAACAATACTGTTCGTGCTGATATCAGCAGAAGATATACATCTAAAATATGGAAGATAAAAGACAAAAAATGAAGAAACAAAAGAGAAATGTCATTATCTACAAGTTCATCATCGAACAACATAAAACAAATATATCACACACATACACACATGAACACGCACGTTCATAGTCTGTTTCGTAGTTTCGTGTTTTTTTTCTTACAAAATTCCCTGGAAGTTGAATTTTTTTCAATGCATAGTAATACCGGAAGACGCAAAACAAAGAAAACGATCAAATATAACTTAAATCACAAGAAAATGAAAGAGGAAACATAACACATGGAAGTCTACTGTCTGCACTTGTTCACAACCGGACGTTGATTGCATTGGCTCAAGAATGAGAGAAAACGAAATGCAATGAAAGGAAGCCAAATGAAAAAAAAAACAAACAAATCAAAACAACAGAAGAAAACTGAAAACCAAAGAGAAGAAAACAATACAAATCACATAGTAGCCGAACTTGTTGATGCACCATTGGATAATATGGAAGAAATAAGTTCAGCAACAACTGTACGACCTGATTCATGAGATGATGTCGATGGGAAATAATCATATTGTTGTGAAGATAAATTCTCTTGATTCAATGGAATGTAAGACGAATCATAGATGACATTATGCTGTTCGGTATATGATAATCGGGATTGATAGCGATGACGTGTACTTTCCGATTCAATCGGAATTTCACCTTGGCCAGAGATAACCGTCGAAATAACTTCATCGATTTTCTCGAGGACATCAGCAGGTACATCTGAATAGTTAGAATAGGAAGGAGATGAAGAAGAGAAGAGATCAAACATTGAGAGGCATACTTTGCAATATATCAGTGCGTGTGGTCGACTTCTTTCCATTTGTTGGAAGATGAGGTTCTGAAAATGACGGATCAATAGTTGAATTCGGATGACGTCCATTCGTTGATGGTGACACCGCGTAACATGATGCTGATCTCATGAGTGGTGGTGGTGGTGGCGGCGGTGGTTGAGTATGATACGGATGGATCATATCGGATGAATTAGTACTATATGTTGAATCTACAGAGAAAATTATATCGATGAGCCGATCATTTCAATAGAAAAGAACAGGATTAGTTTACAAGGCGATGTTTTAGATTGATATTTGTTAGTTTTCGTTATGAATAAAGCAGATGGATCTTTACCGAATGGAGATTGAAGATCAAATGATGGTAACTAGAAATATGTGCGCACGTAAGAATTGATTCACTTGAAAAATGAAGAATAGCATTCTTACCGAATTCGGTTGATATGATTGTGAATGTTGTAGACCATTTGATTGACAATGTGTATTTGAAATACATGAATGTTTCTCAGTCGCCATGGTTTTCGGTAAATTCTCTCCTTGGATTGGCTGTTGGTATGCTTGATACATGTGATAAGATTCATCCATGCCCATCAAAGATGGATGACGTTTGAATTCTAATTTTGAACGGTTAAATTCGGGTGATTGAACTGAAATATTGTTTTACAAGTTTGACATATGCATTGATTTCTAATTTACCCGCTGATAACGATGGTCCATCAGGACATGAGTACACCGTGTTAAGCAGTGGTGGTGGTGGTTGCTGATGCTGTTGTTGTTGTTGTTGTTGTTGGGTCATATGTGATTGTGGTAACCATGGCATACAACTAAAATGATTGAATATTGCGTTCATTCTTCTTGTTTTAGAATCAGTAAAAATTTACTCTTGACGAAGAATGTTCTTATTTGTTTGAGAAAGAAACGTCGCTTGGGATGGACCAACAGTAGATTCTTCTAATTCTCGAGCCATATTTCGAATGATTTGAGTTGGATTATTTGTTTGATAGATACTACTATTCGACCAATCCATCGCTAAGATGACGACAAACTTCAGTTTAAACAGAAATTTGTCACGAACGATTTACCTGATGAATTATCATTCTGATTTGGTTGATCCACAAATTCAATAAATTCCCAGATATCTCCTGAGGTATTGCATGGTGGATTTGGAGCTGCTGGATTGAGAATATAATCCACCAAATCAATAAATTCTTCATTATTGAAAATTGGTTCTAGAAACAACACTCGTTGGATTTCAATCAATCAACAAATTTCCATCATACGCATTTCATTTTCCTCTTCATTCGGTACAGATGCCGGTGGTCTTTTCTTCGTCGATAAATATTTTATTGTTTCATTATCTAATTGAATTGCGTATTCATTATCCAAACATTTGAAATTCACCGTTGATGAATCGTGGCAAGACGAATCATCAGTCAACGGGTTTCTCGCTTGATTTCGATTCGCAAGTTCCATGCCGAAAAATGCTTCCTAAACAAATATTCCTAGAAACAAAAAGAAAGATGAAATCAATGATCTACCTGCATTTCGGGAGGCATATGTTCTTCGAGAATCGTCTTTCGTAATCGCTTATTCTTCGTCCGTAAGATTTCACTATCCATGTGAAGTAAATCTTGTCGACGACGGTTTCCACGAATTTTGACGACGAATCCACCGATGCCTGAACAAAACGAGTGTATTAGTAGATATTTGTTAGGATAGGAGTGTGCTATACCTGTGTATTTTTTTATTGGCTTTTTGGTTTGGTGGTCATTGGTTAGAAGAAGTTTTTCTTCATCCGATCGTTCGTCATCATTGATCAAGGAAGAATTCGTTCTTTTGAAAGCATTTTGATTTTTCTGCAAGATCTGTTTTGATTTCCGCGATGGATGCGCGGAAAGCTTCGGTCGAATCGATTTCAAATGCGCAACACCATTATCAGTTAAATAAACACCTTCATCAAATTTCACGGGTTTTGATTGCAAAATTTGCTGATCATTCATTGAATTATTCGATGAATGTCGCACCAATGTAAACGTCGATTGGTCTGGCTTGCATAACAAGCAAATGAATGATTGTTCGTGACACCTCTTTTCAGCCATTTCTTCGGTAAAGATATTCGCACACATACTGTGACACCAGCGATTACAGTTCGTACACTGAATGATCAATTCATCCAATGAATATTTACGTAAACATAATGGACATGTATTTAATGAATAACATTGACCACATTCAGTATAATTATTTTCCCATTGGCAATCAGCGCCTGGACTGGTTGAACCGCATTTCAAACAACGTACACACCTATACGAAAATGAAAAGCGAAATATACGAATTTAATTGATATGAATGCGATGAATACCATTGACATTTCCAATTTCCTTTTGGTACTTGGTCGAGTGGTGGTGTGAGGCAATAAGTATGATATGAAATATCACAATCATCACAAAGAAGAAGTTTGCCTTCGTCTGTTGTTTTACCACAGCATTCGCAAACAGTACAATCAAGACAGCGCCAACCTTTATCGAAGATAACTCGAGAGATCTAAGAGAAGTAAGTTCCGAGAGTAATAGAGAAAGATGAACATACCATTTTTGTGAAACCAACACAATATGGATGATAAGTTTGACCACATTGAGAACAGGATATTAATTGTCCTTCGTCATCTACACCGATACTTCCACAACTCACGCACATATCCTAGAAACAGAGGTAATTGTCAAATTAAACCAACGCTTTCAAGGTTTCATACTTGAGAAACCGCATAAACTTCATTCGAGGCGCATAAAACAGTTACGGAATGATGTTCATCATCATCTTTGATTGCTTCGTGCTGAGCAGAAACATGCTCCTAAACGTTTTCACTCGAATTCCTCGGTTGAGATCATTGATCTACTTACGGTTGTCGATGTTACTGTCGTCGTAACACTGTAATCATCTCTTCGAACTTTGATTGGTCGACCACGTGAACTGGACAGTGTTCGATGACATTGTGCAAGTTGTAAATTATCCGAATTGGAAGAATGTGATTGTGGACTGATCGAATTCGGAGGTGTAGGAGAATCCGAACTCAATCGATGACGACGACGAGCATTCTACAAACAAATGTTTTTGTTTAAGATTTCATTTCCTACAAAACAATTCATACTCGTCTAGCGCGTTTTCGGTTTAATGCATCTGTGTTAATGTATGCTTGTGCTGGTTTACCTTTTCCACATTTACTATTCACACGACTGCCTCGCGTTGATGCTAGCACCGGTTTCGTTGGTATCAATGTCTATAAAGGCGAAAAAAATTGATGAAATGACAAATGAACTAATGTTTTTATATACTTCGGTTTCGAAACATGGTAAAAAAGTATCTTTATCACAAAAGAGATCATTGACATCTGCTATACAACTATTGCAATTCAATTCTGAATCAACTAGAAAGATAAAGTTGAGTAGATTATATTAAAATTTACTAGAAAAAAATACTTACAATTAAATGATACAAAATCCGATTGATCATCGGACATTTTTCTATTCGATGTGCTAAACAAATCTTGTGAACATGAATCATCACTAAATCTTCAAAAAACCAATCAATCTTAGCAAAAAAATTCAATGAGAATACGCGATTTCATACCGGTCGTCGTCGAATTGTTTCGGAAAGATCCGTGATTGAATAGATGTACTGTTCTAAACAGATTACAAACAAAAAAAAAGAATTAAAAAAAGAATCCATCTATCTCTAATCTCACCTGGCACATTTCGACGAAAATTGTCGACTTTTCTGGAAGTATTTGATTCCACAAGATATGTCTGAAAAGTTCTGGTCATATACGTACTGTTCTAAAAATTGATCATCATTTGTTTGTTTACTTTTTTTCTCCTCTTCTGCCTTTCGTAAAACAACAACAACAACAACAACACAAGAGCAATTTGACAAATACTGGTGTCGACCTCTGGTGAGAAACGAGACAAAGATCGACGAAAACTGTTTCACTGAATGAAAATCTCGTTTCAGATGACTCAAGTTCTTAATTGATTTCCTTTGATTTCTATACGTTTATGGACATCAAGATAAAAAGCCTATAACGAAGATTAGAGACGCCATTTTGAAATTCTCTCATTATCTTTCGAGGTCACTTGTCACGCTTAATAGATCTGATTAGATGAAACTTTTCTTTTGAAAATCGAAGTATTTCTTTTTTCGATAAATTCAACGAAAAAAAGAAAAATATCTGAGAAATATTCGTTTCCAGTGATTTATTTGTTTAACACAAAGCGACTTCGTTTGCCATTGGATAAACGCTAATTCAATAAGAAACAGTTGAAAGTAATAATGACATGACTGAAGAGAAGAGAGAAGCGAAACGAGTACGAAATGCATAACGACTATTGTCAAAACAAACGGTAAAAGAGTTCGGTTTTTATTCGCATACGAGATCATTTGTAGAAATAATAATTTCCAATTAACAATCAGTGTTGTGCAAAGAGTGAAAATCAATTTTTGTCATATTATGAAGATTTATTTCGATCATTGTCTCTGGTGTTCATCATGAAGTCTTCTTTTGCTACTTTCGGAGTCTGCGAAAAAGACACCCTGCGTGATTGACTCTGAGAACGTTATCAAAATTTATCCTAATCGTCATACGATGATATTCTCATCCTCTGGGCTCTGTCGAATGATTCTTATGTAGTGAAAAGTCTTTCCGAAGTCTTTTCTTCGATGAAAACTAGAACCGATTCTGGATATGATTGAGTAACATCTAATACGGACTTTTCCTTAGTTTTCGGACATCGAATAGGATAATCATGTCTTCGTCAGTATAATTCGATCTAACATCATTATCTATCTGTTGAGCTTTCATTGAAAGTCTTGTGAAACACGACTTCTCTTTGTTTGGATGCTTGACTCGAATCTCCGTAGTAATGCAGACAGTTTTACTGTTCTTTCAACGAATGTTTGCAAAGTAAGAACATTTGATGATATGCCTTGCTTTTCTTTTCCTATTCGATGTTGTTTTAGTCTAGTCTCTTCTTCTTCCTGCTATTACTCGTCCATCGTTCTAATTCGTCCATCTCTTTTTTATTGCCCTCTCTTTGTGAATATGTGTAGTCCAGTAGAATAAGCATCAACAGAGAAATAAACAAAAGTTCACTATGGATTTAAGGCTTTTTTGTCGTTTCTTATTCAACAATGTTTATTTTAGTCGTCGTTTACCCAATTTATGTAAACAGCGAAGAAGACAAGTTGATTTCTTTTCTTCGATGAATGGTTTGGAACTCGACGGGAAACTTTTTCTTAAGCGCTAAAATTCGCTTGACTTAATCATTTTTCACAACGCGCTATTGATTGTCATTTACTGCTTTGTAGATAGGACAGAAATGACTTCGATGCCGGATAATCTCATGGAAGTGGACGCGGATTATATTCCACCAGTTAAACTAAGAAAGACAACAAATGAGGTGAGTCATCAAGATGAAGTTTTCACAAAGGAAAATTTTCATTTTTTAGGATGATCATAACGATTTATATTGTTTTGAATGTCATGATGAAGGTGATGTGATTTGCTGTGATTCATGTCCACGTGTCTATCATCCGAAATGTCTGGGATTGACAACATTACCAGATGGAGATTGGACATGTCCGGAATGCAAAGTATGCTATTGAAAAATTCTTCTATGATTTAGTAATTGATTGTATTTCTAATTAGATTACACAATCAGCATTTACTATGCCAAATGTTTCATTGAATGAATTTCATAACATGTTGAAATATGCAACTCGTCGAATGAAGTCTCATCCTCAAGTAAGCTTTTCTTCTATAGACAACCAAACCCCTAATTTATGTCAATTTCTCAAGGGCACACCATTTATGCACCCGGTTGATTCGAAACAAATGCCTGAATATCTTGATTACATTATTCATCCAATGGATTTGGAAACCATTGAGAAAAATATCGATTTAAGAAAGTATTCATCGTCCGATGCATTTCTTGCAGATGTCAAATGGATCACACATAACAGTGTGGTTTTTAATGGAAGTAAGTAACTTTGATTATTCCACGTGAGTCTTCTCATCGTCGTGTCATTTAGGTCAAAGTAAATTCACTGGCGTCGCACGTGCATTGCTGAAAATTGCTCGTCATGAAATGAACGAAATCGAAATCTGTTCGGAATGTTATCTACGTAGTGCACAATCATTAACCTTAGATTGGTTTGCTGAGCCATGTTCAACGCCACATACATTATGCTGGGCAAAAATGAAAGGTTATCAACCTTGGCCGGCGAAAGTCCTACGAATTGTCAACGATGAAGTTGACGTGCGATTTTTCGGTCAGCATGATAGGTAAATTCGATTGCAAAAGAAAATCATGATCGCGAAAGTTGGATTGTTGTAGAGCATGGGTGCCGATTAATAATTGTTTTATACTTTCCAAAGAATATCCGGGTTTAGAGAAGAAAAAGTCCAATATGAATTTTGAAAAAAGCCTCTCGGAATTACAAACACATATTGACAAGTTAAAAACAGTGTATGGAAATTTTAATTACGCACCAGTTCAAACACCGCTCAGTAAAACGAAACCGTTCAAATTCGTTTCAGTTATTGATGGTAAGCATTTCATTAGTTATCGAAATATACACACATATGTATATTCTTATCAGATATCTTTCTCATATTACATAAAAGTATACTCTAAAGATTGGACGATATAGTTTATCTCTCTTCAATAAGAAGATCTTTTGTATGTGTGTTTGAATAGATTCGGTTCCACCTGTTTATGTGACGATTGGAAATAATAGTACGGCACTTCGTTCGTCAATCAAGTGTGTTAAACAAGCGCGTTCTCCTCTGCCGCAACAAACAACTGAACCAACGTCGAGTATGAAATCATCAGCGAAACGTCCGAATGAAAATAGTCAAGACACAGAAGAATCTGTGAAACGTGCGAGAGTGTCATCACTAACTGTCGAAGAGACTAATACCAATCCAAATCGTATCGTACTTCGAATACGGAAACCTAGCGAAGATTTATCAAGTAGTCGAAGTGAAACATCAAATGGTAGTAATAGTAATCACCAGATAATCGTTCAAATGAAAGAGCCACTGTCAACTTTAAAAGAAGACGATGAAAATCAACTTGAATCTCAATCAGCAAATGTATTCGATATTTTTAATAGTACTAATCAAACTTCAAATTTATCACCCAAAGATGATGAGTAAGAATAATCGATTGATAAGAGAATTTCATATTTTCCTTCATCCATTGCTTCTCAAAATAGAATACCACCCGAGCTTCCCGAAAATCGATCACCATCATCGTCATCATTATCATCGCCTCCCTCTCTGTCTATTGACACCACACAAGCTGATGTCTCACCTATCGATTACGTAGACCCGAATGCTGAAGATGTCAGATTATCAATGAATGCTTTACTCGATGCTGTTGATGCTGTGAAATCGATATCAGAAGTTCGTACAGTGCAACCATTACTGGCAACAAAAACCACAGCAGCACATACGAATGAATCTCATCCTGTACAACTTCCGTTTGCTGAACGACGTACAACTACAAAACATCCAAGAAAATCTCGTTTACAACATCGTATAATCACACCTCAGTCAAAGCCGCCACCGATGGGCAACGTTCCTCTACCACCTTTGGAACAACCTGTTTATGAACGATCAAATTCCCCTGTATCAACCAATGTGCCATTGAGACCCTTATCGATCAGCCCAGCTAGGTACGTTTTAACCTTCTGTCATTATTTTTCGAGGACATTAACTAAAAACTTATACTTTCTTTCCTATTTTAGTACTGACACGTTAGAAGATGGTCTGAAATCTACAACTGATGACTTAGCCGTATCGCATCGATTAGTAGAAAGAACGGCTTCCATTGAAACACTCAGTGTCAAATCTGAACCAATTAATAATGAAGAACGTCGACAAGAGCGATCGAATCCATCGCAGCAACAAGCACCACTCGTTCCATCAACTACACCAAGCTCATCATCAGCGATCTCTACTAAATCATTTCTTATATCACCTCCAGCCAATACATCACATCATAAAACCAAAACGGCTGTACCTCCTCTATCAACACCATCTACTCCTTCTCTTCCAGCAATGATACCAAATAGTAATAATATATTTGCACCACGAACATCAACAGCAGTAGCAACTGCACAAAAAACTAGTTGGTCAAGTGCAGGACCAATGCCTTCTGCAACGCGACAAATACCAAATACAGCTCATAAACGACCTGCCCCACCTTTATACGCACCGACTGCACAACGTAATAGTAATACAAATGCTTCAACAATGAAAATACCTCCTCCAACAACATTGCAGCCTCAATCATTCGATGTTTTTTCTATTAATGCATCTGCACAACGAAGACCCAATGGAATATCTCATCCGACGATGAATTCCAGTACACCACCATTACTACCAATTCGAAATCCTATACGTGTAAGTAATCTCTCAACTTTATTATTGTAAATAATCCCCGAAGCAAAGATCTCCAACATATTATTTTTCATTTCTTTGTATTTAGATGCCACAATTCAATAATCATCCCACTCGTTCACCAATTGAAGAGTAAGTTTCAAATTCCAATCTCAATTCTATTTGATTGGTCTTCTTTGTAGTCATCAAACACCAGGAGAAATCCAGACGATCATCAAAACATTCAACGACAAAGTAAATAATTACAAATTGTTCGAAATGAACCAAAAGACATTCCCATATTTCTTTAGTTTCAACAATTATTAACTGATTTCACTGTAAAAATCGAAACGGCATTAGAATCAAATCGTGTCAAATACGAAAAAGAACTGGAAGAGACGCGTCGAACGTATCGCATGTCCATGAATGAATTGCGTACAATAACAAGTATGTGAAGAACGCAGATATCGATTTCTCTCCGATCAAATGTTATTTTCTTTAGCTCAACAAGTTCAAGAAATGCACAATAGTTTAGAATTACAATATTGGACACGTCTTTCGGAAATGCGTAATCGCTACGAATCGACTCTTCAGCAACACTCGAAACCTTCGAAACAACTCAACGGTGGTTCGCGTTAGTCAATAATATTTATCTCGATGTAAATTCTTTTCCTTGTCTTTGTGTTTTTTTTATACAGTATTGTTCTTCCGTTATCTTCTCACTATTTTTCTCGTCGGATCTCGATATATATAAATAAATATATATATATATATTTGACACATAATGTGCATATTAATTTCGAAAAAGAAATGCAATTATTTATTCGAAAAATCCACGCACAGATAGTAAAGCAGTAAGAAATGTGTATTATTAATGTAATATAAAAGGTAATGGAGGTGAAATAAGTAAAAGGAGAAAACAAAACGACAAATCGATTGTTGTCCGTGATTTCGAGGGAAGATTAATCAAGACCAAGATTTAATGGGTGTTTGGGTGTTTCGTTGAGAAAGAATTTTTTCATGAATTCAGAGAAAAGATTGTCTAGAAGAAAAGTTGATTGATGTCATTGTAATTCATTCTGAAAGTAACTTACAATCCATTTTCTTTTGACCATGCTCAGTGATGAAATCGTATGCTTTCTCAGCACTGCTTTCATCAATATCCCATGAAATGAGCATGTTGGCGAATTCATCTTTTGATACTGCTCGTTCATCTGCAAAAGATGAATATAGGATAAATTCACAAAAAAAATAATTTTAGCTGAAAAAAAAAACCGAGGGATTTACCTAAGAATTCATTGGCACGAAATAAAGCTTTATGTAATCCTTCGTACCATTCGGGGAATTCGTTTTTCTCTTTCAAACCGCCAATAATATCATTCATAACATCAAGCCATTCGTCTAGAGGAGAAGAAGAAGTGAAAAGAAAGGAAGAAAATGTTGCTTACCTAAATCGATATTTCCATCGTTGTTAGCATCACCAACTGCGCATAAATCCCAGAAATATTTTTGAAAATGTTGTTCGAGACGTTTGCGTAAAACTTTCAATCGAGCATTCTTTTGAGCATCTTCTTGCGACACGATCGACTAGATAACCAAATGTCGAATTCATGGTTCTATTCAATAATGTAAAACAAACCTCGATAGCAGCTTCGAAATCTGTCCAATTGACAAGGCCATCATTGTTCGTGTCTTCAAATAAACAAAATCCGATGATGTAACAGATACTCGCATTAGCTCTACTTACCAAGTGTTTTAGTGAAGAATTGTTGAAGTTTCTTCAAAGCAGTTTTCGGAATATTATCACGAGGCATGATAACAATTGAGTAGCGTTCGTACGATAGTCGGGAATGAAAGAAATCTGAAATCAATATTTCCAATAGGTCAATGTATCTGACAATATCTTTCTAACATGCATGTATATATATGTATGTACAAATATCCGTATATGAGTAAATTCATTCCTAATGCGATGAATCGACACATTAATAGAAAGACAACAAAGAAAATCGTTGTCTGTATACTTGGCACACCGTCCAGAATATTCCGGAAAAGTTATTAGAACAACCTCCTCAACCATTCTGTTCTTTGACTCCTTCGGGCAGCAAAAAAAGATGCTTCTATACAAGACATGGTTAATCATTTTACTGTCACTCGAGAAGCAAAAGAAAGAATACAAGATATAACTAACAATATGGACATTATTCATCAATATTTTTTCTCTCGTACTCTTCTCTCCTAGAGAAACACTCACCACTCGAATAAGTCTATGATTGATTTCGATTCGCGAATATCTATCTAGATAAATAATGCTACAAATCACTGTGCTATAACGACCATGTTTTCCATAGCGCCGTAAATAGAGCGCAGTCATACATCATCTCGACAAATGCGTCTCTCCTTTGCAAAATCAAAGAGAAAAGTGTGTGTAGTTCTTTCTTCGATGCGGGCAATATCCTTACTTATATAGAACACGGTCGTATACAAACAAATGACGTACGAGCGGTCTTTCCATCTTCTAATATCGTCGTAAGAACGGACGAGTAAGCGGTTAAACGAGAATTGTTGTACAATCAAGATACTATACCATCGTTTGCCAATGATATTTTTTCTCTAAATGTAGCAGCATAAGCCATTGATGATTAGAATAGACAACAACAGTTATAGCCATGGTAATTTGTTTCTTTCTTACTCGGAATAGTTCGTGTATGTAGAAAGAAAGGGTTAGCAGCTGCTATAAATGACTGGAAAGAAAATCGTTAAGGAGAATACATAGAAAGCAAAGCAATATGATGAAGAGATTGATATGGAGCGTTGGAAATCTAACCGTTGCCATTTGATTACAAGAAAAATGATAAATCAACTTTTGTATATCGAAAATATCAAAGATTTTCATTGTGAATCAAATTATTTTGAGTTTTGTCTTTGAAAGTTCGTTAATGATTTAACCAAAAATCAATCAACACGACATATTTGCACATTTATTTTAGATGATAAAATAAGCCTCCACATGCCACAATTTCTCCGCATAATTCGAGCAGAAGAAAATAGCGAAAAGCATGTCAACTATCTGACAACATTGATGTCGATGAATAATGATATCAACGAAGGCTAAATATAGCTAAATTAATAAAAATTGACTAGCCTTGATTTCAGTAGATAGAAGAATATTGATTAAATTTAGAAATCTCAAAATAGCTAAGGAATAATTAACTCCTACTGCATCTTTTCATGTGAAAATGCATTTGGCTTAGTAAGAACTATCAGTTAAATGATTTTCTTATGCTTAGGATAAACAAACAGAAGAATTTCTTCAACATGTCCCTTCATTTTTATTTATCCTATCCATTTCTTTCATAATCATTGTATATATTCACAAATTTCTATTCGAATAGAAATGGATGATCTGTAAATCAAACCAGTCATATCCTGTTACCATCCAGCTGAGAATTTGACATTCCTAACAAGACTAACATAAATACTCGACAAAAGCAATGCATCCCAAATCAAAATAACTTTTCTTTTATTAATTGTAAAAAATGAAATCGAAAGCGAACAATCATATTTATTTATTATCCGTATTAAACCTAATTAACCGTTGAATATTCACTCCGATATGCTAATTTTCATTGCATGTTTGTTCATGACCATAATCCCAAAGAATTAATTTCATTGATGAATACAATCGATGTCTCTGTTCATCTTGTTCGCAACTACATGATAAATATATTAGTCACGATGTTTGAAATCATTAATCAGTCGCAACATTTGATAAGATGTTTCATTTTAGACGTTTAGATAACATTGTTCACTTTTGATCCGAGTGAGAAAGATGTGTCCGAAGCGCGTCTTATCATAATCGAAGATCAACAATAACTGACATTAGATACAGTTGCCGAAAGTGATGATCGTTGACAAAGATTTTTCTCGCTAGATAAATACACTTCGATCTTAATTGTTACGTTATCTGTATATTCAAGCGATAAATATTAGCTTTGTGTTGAAAATAGAAAATGATGCATTCTAAAAAAAGCTATGTCTTCGTAACAAGATAGCGAAAGTTTCAGAATAAGAAAGAAGTTCAAACAGACACGCAGTTCTTTGAGTATTATAGATAGAAAAGCTGTTGTGACTATGTCATATCTTTTTTTTCGTCATTCTTATCTAATTCGAAAGCGAGAAAGTAATCGAAACATAATAAAAAGTTATTTAATTTAACTCAAGTTAAACTCTTTTCTTCTTCGAGTTGTTATCATCCAATTGGAATATGAATGATAACATTCGACCTTTGAAATGATTATAAAAATATAGGGAAAACAAGAAATGAGACGTTGTATCATTCAATTTTTTTTCTCTCTCTCTTTTCGTTCGCGTATACATATTCAATATGCATGACCGAGATTTGAGAAATAGTTATCGTTCTGTAAGTCAGCTGTTGCCTCGCTTCGTTCGTCGCCATCATCATCATCACCACCACCACTGACTCTTTGCACTGTTCAAACAACACGACGAACGGACGGATAAAAAAGGATGGGAACAGACGAACATATAAGAAGAGAAAAATGTAAGTCATACAGAAAGAGAGAGAAGGACCATACGCTCACGGCGTGCTCGGTCGATACTATTATAAGATGACATTCGTGTGAATGTGCGTCGTCGAAGAGAGGGTAAGCAAATGAATGCGTGTATGTTTGATTTTCATGTGAACTTTGGAACGAGCGGTGCGAGGTGATCGTCAATATCCTTATAGACTCTAATCCTAGCTCGCGTTTTTTTGTTTCAAGTTGATTTATAATTGCGACATAAGAAAAAAAGACAAAAGAAGTAGATAAATGTAAGTGTAATAATATTTACTATTAAAAAAGTCTTTCCGTTGGATAGATAGCGTTGGTAAAATAAAATTTGATTTTCCTTCAGATATTTTATTATGAAAATAGCTGTGAATTCATTGTTGTCATTACTTGATGTGGGAACAGGCTTTTGTTATTGGTTATTAGGTCGAGATTTACTTGAAGACGAAATAAAATGTATAGAAAATCTATTCATCACAGGTAACAAATCATTTCTCTTGTTCTTCACTATTCTATTCGTACATATATTTAGTTCACAAACCCGAAGACGAATGTTATCTCATAGAGAAATTGAATAGTCTAGCACCTGGCAAAGATTTATTACTTATATGCGACCAAGAAAACCATAATCTTGTTCAATGGTGTGTATTAAATAAATATAACCAAGCACTTCTTGTCCTACTCGAATATGGCTGTAATCCAAGTCGAACAGGAATATCTGGCTATGATCTACCACTTGCGTTAGCTTGTTGTCTAGGTCAAATGGATATGATACAATTATTACTCGATCACGGTGCCAATCCATCTGAATCAACGATTTTATCATCCGATATATTGAAACATTTAGCTGGAGAAACGGATCGTGAACGTTATTTGAAGTTAATTGATTTATTGAAATATCGGCCTTGTATCACTTCATTGAGTATTGTTTTGACCTTTGATGATTTAGCGATGTTTCATCTCTTGACCGGCGAAACATCACATTCATTATCGGTATCAGGTTCATTGACATCGTCAGTCTCATCAGTAAATATCACTCAAGCAATAGACGATACAAATATGAAACTCTCTTATGCAGATTTTGATATATTTCATGAGCAATTCAACATTGAAAATTACGTCGAAAACATTCTTCCCAACGAAACCGATGAAGGTATTGATCAACAACAACAACAGCAGCAGCAAAACATCAATACAAATGACGATCTATCCGATTACGCTGATCATGGACACTTCTTTTCCCTCTGTGATACTCTCGATGGTGAATCAGCTGTCGTCAATCATGATGATGGCATACAGGTTCGTTTTGTTTTCTTCAAAACGAAAAGCGCACAGTTGTACAAACTACTAAACACAAAATGAGTGGATTATAGGATTAAGAGATCAGTTACAGTATATTAACGTTTCAATAGATCATTGATATATGCATGACTGAGGTATCTGTTTACGTTTCTAGGCTTTATCGGACAAAGGTAATCACGTTGAGAGAATTCATGAAGAGGAAGCATTCATTCCTGCCGCAACAACTGACGGTGGTTATTACACAGTAGATGGAAGTTCAGGTCGAGTTAAAACACAACCACTACCAACAGTACCGGTTAAACAACAACAGTTACGTGAAATTCAAAACCAAGAAATGAATTTAAATTTATGCTCTGTCAATACTAATCAACTTCATGATTGTCGACAAGTAAATGAAGTTATCCATCGAACGAAAAGTCAACAACAACTGATAAAACTACTGAACTCTCCCAGTCATACAATGCATCGTCATTCGTTGCCAATCAATGTTTACGATCAAGTAAATGATCAACCAGCGAGACGTTCACGTTCAACTTCATCGTTTCTTCTATCGAATATGTCGAATTCAACGAAACATACAGCTTATCTGTTACGTTTATTACATCAGATGATTGAACGTGAAGCTGCAACAATTCTCGAGTACTTCCTTCGTCGACATCTCGATGAATTCAACGATCATTTTCATAAAGCAGCAAGTAGTTCAGATATTCAACTAAAAACCTACGAATTATTATCGAATATCAAATCAGATCGGATCTATAATGTTCTTCTCTCTTCCAATTGTGCATACTTTAATACGGTTACAACGAGTTTATGCGATCGAGAGAATAATACGTTAGTACATTCGTTATTGGGACAAAATCCATTGAAGTATCAACCAACAGAAATGATTAAAATGGTTGAAAGGTATATGTCATGTGGATTGAAAGAATTCATTAATAGGTAAACGATTTTTGTGACGATGAGGGTGTAAAATTCCTTGATTTTTCTAGACCAAACTTATCCAATCATTGTATGATTCAGATACTTTTATGTAATGAGCATTTTCTTAAAATGATCTTCTTTCCACGAAGTCTACAATCATCATCAACACCTGGTAAATCGAAAAACTTCCTGATTTCAATCTAAAACACTTTTTCCATTCTAGCTTCATTAAATACCGATTCTTTAACAGTATTATTACCAACATATGATCCTGAAATTGTCGAGAAATGGCGCCATTCGTATTTGATTCTAATTGAAATCCTAATAAAACACGGTGCACGAATTGATATACCTGCTGGTTCGTATCGAAACAGTCTCGATTGTCTTCTTTCATCCTTGATCGATGTTGCCAAACGTTTATCCTCAATCACCACGACATTCGATGTGAAATATTTGAAACGTTTAATTCTCGTCCTTCTCTCATCCTTAAATCAAACCAAAACTCGTCTAATCTATTTCAAATACAACATCGAACGTTTCATTCATCTTCTCTACTCCATTCACATCCACAACGATGATCTCTCTGATATCCTTTCAATCATTCATCACCTTGTTCAATATGAATATCAACCATTGAGATTGAATACCAATACGTTAGGACATCTCTTTAAACTATGGTTAACGAATCCGAATTTTTTATGTTCGAGTTTAATCGGAAAAGATCTATTTATGCAACAATTTCTAACGATCATCATCCGTCGAATTGGTTCAATATCGCAAATCAATGAAAATCCTTTGCTATTACCAAGTACATCGAATTTATCACGCAAATCTTCAGTTACATCGAATGATAATGATATAAATCTCCAAAATCTTTTCTTTTTACTCCTAAATTTAATATCATTGAATCTAACATGTTTACAAATCCATGCCATTTACGAATTGATATTGATCTTTCTTAACCATACGACTATTGACATAGTTAATAATGATTTATCACAATTACCTATTGTTTATCTATGTTCACAAGTGAAATTAATCAATTCTTCATTATTGATTCCATTTATTGATCTATTTACTATGATACATTCATCGGTAATGATCAATAGAACGAAAGACACATTAGCACAAATATCGATAAAACGTTTATCGATTGATTTATATAAACATTTTCTTTCCATTGAAAAACCAACAGTATTTGTACGTTCACTTCGACATATAACAACGAAATATCTTCATCATCATTTGCAAAAGCCATTTCTGGATAGTGTTAATCATTTACCTATTGGCGATGCAATCAAACAACGTCTAATTCATTTCAATGATATCTAAAACAAGAAGAAGAAACATCTATGTCTGTGAATCTCTCCAAGCTAGTCATTCTTTGGTTTTTCTTTCTCCTGTCCTTTTAAATCGCTCGCCAAGTCAAACTGTGTCTTCATCTTCTTTTCTTTTTATGTAAACTGTGATTATATTTCGTGTTCATTGGCGAGGACTTTCTTATTCGTCTCTTGTATACACTTTTTTTTCGTCCTCTTTCTTTTTTACTTTTTTTTTCTTTTTGTACGGTGATTCTTCATATTTATTCTTTGGTCATTAGCGCGTATCATCGTGAGCATTTTTGTTTCGAATTCTTCGATTGTTAAACGAACATTCCTATAGGTCTTTTATTGTTTGATAGGATGCATTACAGATAGAAAGTGTGTGAATGATTCGATGCATCGTGAGAGCTAGTGAAACGAAGAATTTATGTTTATATATAATTGATTTGATTAAAAAAGAAACATGTAGATGAATATATAAAACGCCTATCTTATAGTTTCTTGTTTTGAATACGATCATTGATTGATCTTCATTCATTCATGTTCGTATGGAAATCAGGAAATTGAATCTTGCTGCAGTTGTAGCAATCATATAGATCTCAATATCGACTTTCGTCAGAGCGATACAAACGATTTCTTGTTGCCCTATTCTTTGTCTCAGTACTTTTATGCTTATAATTTTATTTTAGATTAACATCAATCAAACTCATAGATCAATGAATACTTCATTCACTTAATATGAACACTATATACTTTATTTGATATTGATCAGATTGAAATGTAAATACTGTTACTCACTGTACGATGTTATATAACTTTATATCCCTCAGTCATTGATGAGAAAGAGTATATCGATCAGTCAGGTAGTTCACTCTCAGCAATAGCAGAGAGAGAGAAGATATATTCTGTTCGCGCATTACGTATGAACAGAAATCAAAGAAAGAGAAGGACTGGAAGATGTTCAGAGTAGTGATGGCAAGCGCCCTCTATTCACGACATTCGATCATTACATAAAAACAGCCAACTGCATTGATACTCGAACTCATTCTTTGTTTCACTATTCATCCCATCGCAACAGTAGGTTTTTTCTCTCTTTTCAGAAATAATCTGAATCATAGTGTGACGATGACTGTCTAGAATAAATACATCCCGATATATACATATAATTACCTATCGTAATGTTGATAAGCAACGTTAAAGATTTCTCTTATTTTGAATGATTTTTTCGCACGGAATGAAATTATTTTGTTGTTTTTCAGTTTCTTAGGTGGTGAATAGCATAATTTTCAAACGCTATGAGCATATCCGGTAACGACATTAAACTATGTATGTATTCTCTTGGAGGATTCTGTGCATTTTTATGTACGATTTTCAATTTTCTTATTCAGCATCTTTTCCTGTTGGCGAACCCGGTACAAATGTTACGACTGTCACATTTGGTCGACGTTCAGGAAAAATAATAGCGACAGGCAGTGAAGATCATAGTATTCACATATATGTCATCGGTCAAACAACATCATTATTGGTAAATCAAAGACTTTTCGATCCTTTAATTTCAAGAATTTCATAATGTCTTAGACATCACAATGTCAAAAAAGTGCGATAACAGCATTGCGATTTTCACACGAGGAAAATCTATTGGCATCAGGTAGTCGATCGGGTGCGATACAGATATGCGATCTTGACAGTCAAAAGGGTAAATTTATAAATTCGAGTAGAATAGTTAGAGAAGTTTTCTCTGTTGTATAGTTATTCATCCTGGTGGTCATAAAACGAGCATTCGTTCAATTGAATATTTTCCATCAAGCAACAACTTTCTTGCTACAGGTGCTGTTGATGGTACAGCAAAGGTAAGTTGAAATTGAAAGAAAAAGCAATTCCGGTTTGATATTTTCTCCTGTAGCTTTGGGATCCAAGACGAAAAGGTTATATCTATGATTATAAAGGACATAATGGTGCTATTAACGCACTGAAATTCTCTCCTGATGGACGGTATCTAATTACTGCTTCGGATGACACAGCCATTCAAGTAAAAGAAACTATTCATATCTCTCCGCGGAATATAACTCTTTGAAATTAGATGTGGGATGTGACAGCTGGGAAATTGATCAAATCTTTTCAAGAGCATCAAGGACCTGTATATACTATCGAGTATCATCCGAAAGAACTTTTATTAGCATCAGGCGGAGCTGACCGGTAAGGATTTGTGATGAGAGGAGGAGAAAACATAGTTTGAAATTCTCTCGTTGTTAGACGAATTAAATTTTGGGATTTGGAAAAACTTCAATTTGTCTGTGAAACTGATATTGAAACATCAGCTATAAAGTAGGAATTCAATAGGAAATTTCGATCTACCAGAAATGTCTTTAATTCTATTTAGATGTTTAGCATTTGAACCAACGAATGCTAATTATTTACTGTCGGGATCAAATGATATGTTACGTGTTTATAATTGGGAACCGGTTCAATTATTAGATACTGTGCAAGTTGGTTGGAAAAATATCATTGATATGACTGTTCACAAGGATAAATTGGTAAATTTTTGATTGATTGATTTCTTTCTTTGATGATAATATCTGCTATATATATTTTTTAGTATGGAGCCTCTGTTTCGCAAAATAATGTTTGTATTGGCTCACTTCAACTTCAAGTACGTCAGTTTTGTGAGAAACATGTATGAAATAGTAGGTTTTGTTTATTAGAATCTAAAAACTAAGCGACGCATTTCACCTGTTCGTGATTATTATCCAAGTGATCCAAAAGCGTCACCCGTAGCAACAGGTACTATCACCGGTCGTCGAAGTCAATACCAAGCAATGGCTGTCAAAGACGAACAAGTCAAGTAATAGAACTGAAATCGCATCGACTCTATCTGATAATCGCTTTTCGTTTACAGACTCCAACGAGAACCATCCACGGGTAGCAACACTGATGATTCGAAAACGAATGCTGCGGATAGTATTATGATCGATAATCAGGCAGATTATGAACAAATCTTTCGCGCTAAAGCACGTTTGCCACGCTCGCCTAGCCATCAAGGAGTCTCGACTCAACCTGCAGCAGCAGCACCATCATCATCATCAGCTGGATTCAATATTCAAGCACCAGCACCAACAGAAATCTCATCAGTAGCAGCTAAACCGAAACCTCCTCAATCTGTTTCACCCCCACCACAAGTAATTAATTTTCTTCTAATCTCATTTAATAAATGTTTTCTTTTCGACAAAACAAGGTTGACATGTTAATGCCTCCTATTCAAATGCCGAATCCTTCCATAACACCACCGGATACTGTAAGTTAAATTACGACGATTTTCGAATCTATTGAAGCTCTCTTCAGCCTCGAACCAATGAACAAATCTTTGCAAACCTATCCAAAGGAAACAAAACCATCGTTTCCACACAACAACGTCGTCAACGTAATCTCTCGCTATTAGTATCACTATCACGTTCAAGTACTACGCAGGTACGATCATATCAACCAAAAAAAGAACTTTGCCCCATGATATTTTGTCATAGACATTCCAAGCAGTTACAGTTTCGCAAGATCAGTCGCTCGAATCCTTCCTCTTGCGTTTTGTTCTGGAAAAACTACCTAAGTAAGTCGTCTTGATACTACAAGCAAACAGGATGTACGATTCGTTAATTTAGACGCGAATGGAATTTAGAAATTTGTATATTAATTTTACCAGCTATACGAGATTTGATCAAATCCCATTATCATGGGTAAGATTTGTTGCATTGGAACATTTCATTTGAAATCGTATCATTTCAGATACAATCTAACAGCTTGCCAAGCACTTGGAAAGATTCTTGGCGATTTCGGAAAAATGATTTATGATAACATTGGAGCAAAGTCGATCGGTGTTGATCTCAGTCAACAAGAACGGTAAACGACATCGATCAAATGTTGTTATTTGTCACACCTCGTCCTTTTTCTCGATTGCAGACGTGAGAAATGCCAATCATGTCATCATACATTGCATGAAATTCGTTGTTTAATCGAAGCTCGACTAAAAAATGTGTGTGATTCCTCGTTACAAAAAGAATTCGGTGACAATTTAGCATTGCTCAACGCTCTTGAGCGTTCTTAAACAAACATATATTTCTCCTTCTTCTGATCATTGTTACAATCCGTCATTACTTTCGTTTTTTTTGCTTTTTTTTCCCCATGCAGATACGAACCAATTCTTATTTCATGCACTGTGATACACAATCATCTTAACACATTTCTTTTGTCTTCTCAATCAATGACACACGCACAGATTAAGTCGGTTTTTTCGTGATGATCTTGTATATCTTTATTAATATATATATATATATATGGAACAACATCGTCTATGTATGAATTTGTTTTTCTTTTTTGGATAAATTCACAAATATGCAACTATGTGGATGTTTACCGGTTGGAAATAGTGCGCGAAATGAAGAAAAGCAGTCAAATACCAAGCCACCGGTCAAGAGATACTCTCTCAAACATGGTATGAAGAAAATGATTCAATATTTGTTGATAATCACTTCTTTGTAGATGCACTCACAAATGGTAATAGTAACTCGTCGTCTGGAGAACCGAAGTAAGAATACAAAGTTTTGTTTGGTCAAATAAATGTGATTATCTGTTAATTAGGGTTCGAAAAGAACGAACTAGATCGAATACAAGCACTATGACTGAGTCAGGTACCAAGCGATAGTAAGTAATCGAACTGAAAGTTGAAGTCTGTTGTTTGTAATTGAATAATCAGAAAATTGTTTTCATATAGTTTTCTCCATTCATCTATCTAAGTAAGCGAACATTCTCTTTTGATAGATGTGCTTATCGTTGCTTTTGTTGTGATTTCTCTGCTGCTTTGATTTTTCTGAATTCATTAAACATAATCTCTAGGGATTTTATTCTTTCTTCTCTTTTTAGTACATTAAAAAAACAATCTTCATCGGCTTCAGTTAATAAAGTTATTTTTCTCGATAATCATCATCATCACTCACAGAAAGATTTGTCGGAAAGACGAGTAGGGTAAGTGAATCTTCAACAACAACATCAACATAAAATTCCTCTTTTTCCATACAGTGCATACATGAATGAAAGTGAAACTGAACAACGAAATTTTCTCAAATTAAATAAAGAAAAACGACGGTAAATAGTTTGTCTATTTTCGAGAGAAACCATTGTTAGTTTTAGATCCATTCACGAACTACAATTCAATCAAACAGTTTTCAATGAAAAGAAACGCGCAAAGTAAAAGGAAATTGCTTTAGTGTTTTTCCTTATTTCACTTGGATTTTAGAAGTTCGCCGGATGTCAATCAGTTTACAAGAGGAAATACATCGCATGAAAATACGACATGTGATGAAAATGAGAATCCCGACAATTCCCGACATAGAAGATCAGCTGCACGTCGTCGAAAGTTGGTTGATTTGTGCATTTCATCTGCATATATTTACTCATTGAATTTAGACGAAGTAAATCTCCTCGAAAACAAATGCCATCCGAAATTCTAGAAGCAATCAAGTATAGCCAATCGATGGTTGCTCTTAGAAAACATTTTTCATATTTTCTTTTTTAAGATTTGAGCTCGTAGAACCCACTGGTTTAGATGAAAATCAGCTCAAAGATATACCTTATGAAAATATCAAGTAAAGTTCACCAGTTCTCAAGATTAATGATTTGAATCTCTTTTTTCACAATCTAGGACCACTGCTCAACCATTTCGTATTAGTCTTTCGCCACATGCCGCTCGACGACGACGTTCTTCACCATTCAATCGTGCCGGGTAGAGATTTTCATTCGATATTCATTTGAGTTCTTACTCTTCCTTCGCTTATTTATGATAGGGATGTAGTTCATAATGCATCTAACAATATGCTACCATATAAAACACAACCTACTGTTGTTTGTGTTGCTCAAGTTAAATCAACAGTAAGATATGAAGTCTTTCGCTCTACTGAATCGATTTTGTTCGTTCGTTTTTTGTTTAGAAAATCATCAGTATTGCTCGAACGACAGATAATTGTATGTGTTGAAAAGAAGATGTTTTTATTCAATGAAATTTCATTTTCTTTCTTTTAGAAAACTCAAATAATTCGATTGTTTTTTCGATGAATTATTCCAATTGTTTCTTATTTTCTAAGTAGACGTTTCTTTTGTTGTCCAATCTTTATCTATCTGATTGTCCTTCCTCTTATTTTTTGCTGCTTTATTTGTCAGATAATCGAAATCCAATAAATGAAAGTCTTGTCTATACTTTGTGCTTCTATTGATATTTCCGAGCGGAGAATATGCGATGAAGAAATTTTGTCACGGAAGTTAACTATTGTGCAAAAGATTGACAATGATATTTTGAAAATATCAATAAGTGTATATATTGATCGATCAGTTAGAATAATAGCAAACAAATTGTTCGATTGAAATCAAATCCATTCGAATCTCTTGGGATGATATACAGTTGTATTCGATATAGAAATGAATTATTCCTCTGACAATGATTACATCGAAGATTTTGATTGATCAATGATTTTATTCAATAAATGATCCAATGTCTTCGTCATGGCTTATGAAAAAATGCTACATTTTGTCAGTGTTCTCTCATTTGTCTTTGATGAACATCATACAGACTCGATTCGTGTGCGCGATAAGAACTATGTACTTGAACTTTGACAATAACAGAATAGAAAAATTTATCATCACTTCACCTTGTTCTTCTTCTCCTGACTCTTCAACAAGATATCATTTAACACATTGATTTCACAGATGACCAATGTCTTGTAAATCCAAATTCAAGTCTTGAAAGATCATCGTTCTCTTCTCATTGTCTACTTTCATTAACCATTCATTCCTAGACTATGTCTAACTGTTCGATATTATCTAGTTGAAAAAAAAACTAATCCACATATAGATTTATCTTCATATGCGTATGAATTCAATCAAAAATGGAATGTTGCCCTAACTTAGCGATAGTCATCAATATACATATAGACAAGCAAGAAGAATAGTTAACCAACTGCATTCTTCTTTTATGATCGCTACAACAAACCGTGCATAGTAAAGAAAGATACCGGTGATATGATCGTCACAAAACATACATACAATGATGTCTATCTTTTTTTCTCTTCTCATTTTTTTTTCTTCTTTCGATATGCTATGCTTACGAGCTTGATTTAAAGAGAATAGAGAATTCCCAAACTAAATCAGTGTTGCACCAATGACCCACTGAAGGTCTTTGTTGAAATCGTCTTTCCGGATATGTATTACATCATTGTATGTGTGTAGTGTGTATGTCTTTAATCGCTTAATACATTGACTTGTCTCTTGTCTTCTATCATCATTTCTGATTATCGATCACCAGAGATCACACCCACTTTAACTTTGTGTAATTGCTATTCGTCTTCCCTCT